TGAACTCGGGTCTGAAAAGTTGGATCACTGTCCTCTTTTCAGATCTGGGGGCAGGACAACCGTGTTGTTTTGTTTGATGTAGTGTGGGCCCTTGTCTCTGTGTTGAAGTCTAAGAGTTTATTTCCGAAACCCGCGATCTTGCCATTTGGAACACTTGCGCAAAATGTCTGAAATTGTGCGACTGAAAATTCTTATATTTTGGGAGCTTTATTGTCTCCAACAAGTCGAAATTGAGTGGGCGCAGCATGAAAAGCATAACGAAATAGCATCGCGTCTGGCTGGAAGTGAACTCTTTCTTTGCATGTGTATGTGTTATTTATGTATGTGTTGAATTTTGAAAGATGTACATTTGTGACTGGTATTAACATAGTCCTGCCTATATTTGGCAGTCTTTTTTTTCTGTCTTTTTGTCCGTGTGTCCTGTGCAGGTCCATGAGGAAGAAGATGAGGGTCGCTGGTGAAGAAGATGACGGGCAGCTTTCGTCGATTTAAAAGTTAAGTAGTTGTAAATTTTACCCCCTCTTGAACTCGGGTCTGAAAAGTTGGATCACTGTCCTCTTTTCAGATCTGGGGGCAGGACAACCGTGTTGTTTTGTTTGATGTAGTGTGGGCCCTTGTCTCTGTGTTGAAGTCTAAGAGTTTATTTCCGAAACCCGCGATCTTGCCATTTGGAACACTTGCGCAAAATGTCTGAAATTGTGCGACTGAAAATTCTTATATTTTGGGAGCTTTATTGTCTCCAACAAGTCGAAATTGAGTGGGCGCAGCATGAAAAGCATAACGAAATAGCATCGCGTCTGGCTGGAAGTGAACTCTTTCTTTGCATGTGTATGTGTTATTTATGTATGTGTTGAATTTTGAAAGATGTACATTTGTGACTGGTATTAACATAGTCCTGCCTATATTTGGCAGTCTTTTTTTTCTGTCTTTTTGTCCGTGTGTCCTGTGCAGGTCCATGAGGAAGAAGATGAGGGTCGCTGGTGAAGAAGATGACGGGCAGCTTTCGTCGATTTAAAAGTTAAGTAGTTGTAAATTTTACCCCCTCTTGAACTCGGGTCTGAAAAGTTGGATCACTGTCCTCTTTTCAGATCTGGGGGCAGGACAACCGTGTTGTTTTGTTTGATGTAGTGTGGGCCCTTGTCTCTGTGTTGAAGTCTAAGAGTTTATTTCCGAAACCCGCGATCTTGCCATTTGGAACACTTGCGCAAAATGTCTGAAATTGTGCGACTGAAAATTCTTATATTTTGGGAGCTTTATTGTCTCCAACAAGTCGAAATTGAGTGGGCGCAGCATGAAAAGCATAACGAAATAGCATCGCGTCTGGCTGGAAGTGAACTCTTTCTTTGCATGTGTATGTGTTATTTATGTATGTGTTGAATTTTGAAAGATGTACATTTGTGACTGGTATTAACATAGTCCTGCCTATATTTGGCAGTCTTTTTTTTCTGTCTTTTTGTCCGTGTGTCCTGTGCAGGTCCATGAGGAAGAAGATGAGGGTCGCTGGTGAAGAAGATGACGGGCAGCTTTCGTCGATTTAAAAGTTAAGTAGTTGTAAATTTTACCCCCTCTTGAACTCGGGTCTGAAAAGTTGGATCACTGTCCTCTTTTCAGATCTGGGGCAGGACAACCGTGTTGTTTTGTTTGATGTAGTGTGGGCCCTTGTCTCTGTGTTGAAGTCTAAGAGTTTATTTCCGAAACCCGCGATCTTGCCATTTGGAACACTTGCGCAAAATGTCTGAAATTGTGCGACTGAAAATTCTTATATTTTGGGAGCTTTATTGTCTCCAACAAGTCGAAATTGAGTGGGCGCAGCATGAAAAGCATAACGAAATCATAGCATCGCGTCTGGCTGGAAGTGAACTCTTTCTTTGCATGTGTATGTGTTATGTATGTATGTTGAATTTTGAAAGATGTACATTTGTGACTGGTATTAACATAGTCCTGCCTATATTTGGCAGTCTTTTTTTTCTGTCTTTTTGTCCGTGTGTCCTGTGCAGGTCCATGAGGAAGAAGATGAGGGTCGCTGGTGAAGAAGATGACGGGCAGCTTTCGTCGATTTAAAAGTTAAGTAGTTGTAAATTTTACCCCCTCTTGAACTCGGGTCTGAAAAGTTGGATCACTGTCCTCTTTTCAGATCTGGGGGCAGGACAACCGTGTTGTTTTGTTTGATGTAGTGTGGGCCCTTGTCTCTGTGTTGAAGTCTAAGAGTTTATTTCCGAAACCCGCGATCTTGCCATTTGGAACACTTGCGCAAAATGTCTGAAATTGTGCGACTGAAAATTCTTATATTTTGGGAGCTTTATTGTCTCCAACAAGTCGAAATTGAGTGGGCGCAGCATGAAAAGCATAACGAAATAGCATCGCGTCTGGCTGGAAGTGAACTCTTTCTTTGCATGTGTATGTGTTATTTATGTATGTGTTGAATTTTGAAAGATGTACATTTGTGACTGGTATTAACATAGTTCTGCCTATATTTGGCAGTCTTTTTTTTCTGTCTTTTTGTCCGTGTGTCCTGTGCAGGTCCATGAGGAAGAAGATGAGGGTCGCTGGTGAAGAAGATGACGGGCAGCTTTCGTCGATTTAAAAGTTAAGTAGTTGTAAATTTTACCCCCTCTTGAACTCGGGTCTGAAAAGTTGGATCACTGTCCTCTTTTCAGATCTGGGGGCAGGACAACCGTGTTGTTTTGTTTGATGTAGTGTGGGCCCTTGTCTCTGTGTTGAAGTCTAAGAGTTTATTTCCGAAACCCGCGATCTTGCCATTTGGAACACTTGCGCAAAATGTCTGAAATTGTGCGACTGAAAATTCTTATATTTTGGGAGCTTTATTGTCTCCAACAAGTCGAAATTGAGTGGGCGCAGCATGAAAAGCATAACGAAATCATAGCATCGCGTCTGGCTGGAAGTGAACTCTTTCTTTGCATGTGTATGTGTTATTTATGTATGTGTTGAATTTTGAAAGATGTACATTTGTGACTGGTATTAACATAGTCCTGCCTATATTTGGCAGTCTTTTTTTTGTGTCTTTTTGTCCGTGTGTCCTGTGCAGGTCCATGAGGAAGAAGATGAGGGTCGCTGGTGAAGAAGATGACGGGCAGCTTTCGTCGATTTAAAAGTTAAGTAGTTGTAAATTTTACCCCCTCTTGAACTCGGGTCTGAAAAGTTGGATCACTGTCCTCTTTTCAGATCTGGGGGCAGGACAACCGTGTTGTTTTGTTTGATGTAGTGTGGGCCCTTGTCTCTGTGTTGAAGTCTAAGAGTTTATTTCCGAAACCCGCGATCTTGCCATTTGGAACACTTGCGCAAAATGTCTGAAATTGTGCGACTGAAAATTCTTATATTTTGGGAGCTTTATTGTCTCCAACAAGTCGAAATTGAGTGGGCGCAGCATGAAAAGCATAACGAAATCATAGCATCGCGTCTGGCTGGAAGTGAACTCTTTCTTTGCATGTGTATGTGTTATTTATGTATGTGTTGAATTTTGAAAGATGTACATTTTTGACTTGTATTAACATAGTCCTGCCTATATTTGGCAGTCTTTTTTTTCTGTCTTTTTGTCCGTGTGTCCTGTGCAGGTCCATGAGGAAGAAGATGAGGGTCGCTGGTGAAGGAGATGACGGGCAGCTTTCGTCGATTTAAAAGTTAAGTAGTTGCAAATTTTACCCCCTCTTGAACTCGGGTCTGAAAAGTTGGATCACTGTCCTCTTTTCAGATCTGGGGGCAGGACAACCGTGTTGTTTTGTTTGATGTAGTGTGGGCCCTTGTCTCTGTGTTGAAGTCTAAGAGTTTATTTCCGAAACCTGCGATCTTGCCATTTGGAACACTTGCGCAAAATGTCTGAAATTGTGTGACTGAAAATTCTTATATTTTGGGAGCTTTATTGTCTCCAACAAGTCGAAATTGAGTGGGCGCAGCATGCAAAGCATAACGAAATAGCATCGCGTCTGGCTGGAAGTGAACTCTTTCTTTGCATGTGTATGTGTTATTTATGTATGTGTTGAATTTTGAAAGATGTACATTTGTGACTGGTATTAATATAGTTCTGCCTATTTTGGCAGTCTTTTTTTTCTGTCTTTTTGTCTGTGTGTCCTGTGCAGGTCCATGAGGAAGAAGATGAGGGTCGCTTGTGAAGAAGATGACGGGCAGCTTTCGTCGATTTAAAAGTTAAGTAGTTGTAAATTTGACCCCCTCTTGAACTCGGGTCTAAAAAGTTGGATCACTGTCCTCTTTTCAGATCTGGGGGCAGGACAACCGTGTTGTTTTGTTTGATGTAGTGTGGGCCCTTGTCTCTGTGTTGAAGTCTAAGAGTTTATTTCCGAAACCCGCGATGTAGCCATTTGGAACACTTGCTCAAAATGTTGAAATTATGGGACTGAAAATTCTTATATTTTGGGAGCTTTATTGTCTCCAACAAGTCGAAATTGAGTAGTCGCAGCATGAAAAGCGTAACTCTTTTGTTGATAATAGCCTCAACATGTATTAAATGTAATGTTTTGTCTTAAAAAGACCTCATTAGCTAGAAACACTGATTTCACAGTTTTCTTAACCAGTTTGCGCTGGATAACGTGTATATCTGCAAAGGTTTTGCAGTATTTGGAACGGATGACAGATAAACACACACACAAATATCCGTGAGCGACCCGCTTGCAGCGAGCGAGGCCTGAAACATGAGTGTGCTGCACAAGTGTGATGGTTTCCAGCGCCTCGTTCCATTCTTGTCAAAATAATCCCGGCGTGAACCGGCTAAGAGTCCTCTCAGAGTGAAGTTACTGCATTGTTCAAACATCATTTGTAATAGTTGAACAAAGAAATTGACTGGAGCAGGGTTTGAACCCCTGACCTCTGGACTGCCATTCCAGTGCCCTACCAACTGAGCTGTGTTGGCGGTTCCCCATTTTGTCAATGTCTTTGTTCAAGGGGTGCTAGTCTAAACCTTTATATGCCATGTAGCCATGGATCACGCCCAAAGTCACGATGCTAGCAACATAAGGAATGCTGCAAACCTGGGAAATAGCAAACGGGATCTCTCATAGAGGATACGGCTTTTTATTACAAATAAAATTCCTTTTTTTCATGCAGGTTATTCCAAAGCCACGTGTGCTGATTGTTCATTTCAGTCAGCCTGCACCACCTTTTATCATCTGTGTCAAAATGGTAGGTGTCTTATTCCTTTAAAAACGTTCTGCAGAAAAATTGTCGATTTCTGTCCACAATTAAATTTGTTTTGTACATTTTTGTATTGTCAGACCCCCTAAGGCTACGCGGTCCTTTTTCTACGCATTTATCTTGAATTTGTGTGTGACAACGCGCGCGTATGCAAGTGTTACCTGCGCATATAATGGAGGGTCGAGGATACACTACCATTTACATAATCTGACATTGTTACTAATTACCATTTTTCCCCAAATCAAACTGAATGAGGAATTTCATGATTACCTTTATTTGTACATGTTTTGTGTAAACTAGAAAAGTATCATTTCTAGAGTAATTCCATTTCCAATTTAAACCAATAACAAAAAAAATAGATTCTCATCATTACGAGACCAGCAGTAGCATTGAACGTATGCGGCTGCTGCTATCAACATTTTTCAATATAATAACGCTTAAACATGAAATAACTTTGTAATTTTTTTTTGACAATCAGGACCTAACTGGTGGCAGTTTTGAGAGCAACCTGGCTTCTCTAAACCTCGTTGAGGGAAAAGATTACATCTTCTTCAGCTGACACTGACGTCGGTGAAGTGAGACTCAACATTTTAATATTTATTGCGTTTTTAAACAATATTTTTTTAAAACCATTTTCCATGGCCAATTATTACAAATTCACTACAATTGTTGAAGCTCTTAAGACCCTAGACATCCACTAGCACGACGACCTTTTCTTGATTACATTAGAATTTGAAAGCTTACATACCAACATCGTATTGCATTGTATTGTTTTATTTTCCATTTGCCACAAATTAAAATAATGCTAATGCAACAGTTTATTTACTACAACAATAACTAAACTTAATAGAATGCTAATACATGTACAACACTTTGATCAATTAAACATAAATGGTGACAGATGTGGGAACCAGGAAAAAAAGCCTAAGCTTATACAGAGCCTGGTCCCGTTTGTGAATAACTTTTGAAATAAACAATAATTAAAGCTATAAATTAAATCAGTGATCAATAAATTAATTAATTAATTACTTGGCATAATAGTAGAAAAACTGAAGGAAATTGAAAATATACCGATTTACAATATAACATTTGATTATAATGGAATGTGACTTATACAGATATGAATTATGGAAGCATGTCTTATATAATACCGGAAATAAGTAGATTTTTCAGATATCTTTTGAATTTATGCACAGTCCAGAAGAAGGGTATAGGGGTAAGCTGATTCCAGAGAAGGGGACCTTGGTGTCTAACTGAATGATGCAGTCCTAGCCTTACCAATGTGAATTTTGTGTGTGTGTTATGTAAATTGACATCTAGATTCCTCACAAACATGGACCTGATATTTGTAGGTAGTAGGTTACCTTCGAATTTCAACATTAGGATTCCTAGATGGTATTTGTAAAGTTCAAAAATATTTAGTGTTTTATATTGTCTAAAAAGGGGCGCAGAGTGTTCTCTGAAACCGCAATTTGTGATGACTCTCATCAGCTTCTTCTGTACTATTAATAATTTATTCAAATAAGTACTATGAGTATTTCCCCATGCTAGAATTCCCCACAAGATATCTATAACACACTTCTCAAACTTGCCACCTTGCCGGAATACCCTCCAGAATTTCACACATATTTCAAAGAACTACATACATTCACCAGCAATTACAGCAACTTCAAAATAGGTAATCACATCTTCAACAGAATCTGGCGATACAAATGGGATCATACCACTCAGCACAACTCTCAAACCTCATATTAGCTCACAGAGAATACAACTTCCATAATCATCACAAACATCCAAACATTTTTATATTTCAAAGATACATGGACGACAGCTTCATCATCATGTGAAACACCAAAGAGTTCAACCGTACACATCTCATCAAACTACTCGCCCACATCTATCCAAAATCCATACTAATCACAGTATACTTCTCAGACCTATGCATTTCCATCAACCACCATACATTACAATACGATAAATTACATTTTTTACCAGAAACCATTCCAAAATTTCACATACGTACACTCTACTTCCAATCACAATACTAACATTTTTCAAGCATCATTAAAGGCGAATGTCACAGAAATAACACACACAGTGCACTCACACTTGTTTTACTATACTCCCGAGAACAATGCTTTGTATTTCCCTTTGTCCCTGTTTAATTCTCTCCCATAGACTAAGCACACAAACCTACAACACAATTGAAGAGGCAAAAATTGCTGGACTATTGGACTGTTCGGCCTTCTGCAATTCTACATGTTATTTTTGTAAATAAATAGTTTCTTTTGTTTCAACAGTACATTAAATATAATGTAAATAGCCAACACAATTTTTCTCTCGCCTAAATCCCACCCAGAAAGCTTCATAACAACAATTTGAGTTCAAACCGATATCCTCAACGATCACTTTCTCCTTAAGAATCCTCTTCCATAAGAACCATCCTGAAATAAAGGTATATCACCAATAGCCCCTAATAAAGAAAAAACAAAAATCAAGTGATTTTTTTTGTATTGTTGATTTATCGCAACACTTTTATATAAACATTAATAATATTAACTCGAACAGTCCTCCATCCTTCAAATTTGTTTGACATGCTATTTCACACATGGATATAGAGTTAGGATTAAGATTGAAGAGCCACTGAAATGTTTCTTAATGCAATCCTTGGAAATGCACCATTGTGTCCCATTTAGCCCTATTTTCAATTTTCATTCTGCCGTTTTTAAGTGTATTTTAGTGTTTTTGTGTTTTTTTTTATGCTGATACAAATTTCCATATTAAAGAGCGAAAGTGTGATGTCATATCAGACAAAAACCACAACGTTGCAATTAGTGTTGCACCAAAAGTTGCCAGAAATTTGGATATCTCGTTGTCATAATTTTTTCTTTAGTAATTCGTTGTTATGTCAATACATGGCAGTAAGCCATTGAACAAACCTTTCTCATAAATATTACAGTGAAAACAATTTAGGTTCAGAATTTCTACAGAGTAACAGATAATAAGAACAGTGTCTCCCTGAAATGACATCACAGAAACAGCGCCCTTAGTTATCCACAAGGCATGAATTGTTTTTAATGTTTAAAGAAACGTATTTTTCAATAAACTTAAAGAAGATTAGAAAAACCTTCCCCCATTAGAATGATCTACTTTGGCAAAATAATTATAATTGCTTAGATAAACGCATTCCCCTTAAATAAGAGACTTTTATTATAACAGAACTTTTATTTTAATAGAACTTGAAAAATGCATATTGTGTACTTGCCTTGTCGATAATCTTCGCACACCAAATACATCCCTTCACCAAATTCATTGAAAATTCCTGTAATATATAAATCCAGTGAAAAACAATTATATTATTTTGTTTTCATATACCATGTAAATACATTTGAACTGCCTCTTCAAACAAACAAAAATTGTTGGTCTCACCATCACATTTTAATTTTTCTTAAAGTATATTGATCTTAATAATTCATTAACATCATTATATCATTTTGTATTTTATTTATACAGTGAAATCTCGATAAGTCAAACTCTGATAACTCAAAACAACTGTTCAGTCAAACAAAGAATCCATTGCCTTCAGTAGTATAACAATGATATACAACCCTACTTAACTCAAAACTCTGCTTAAGTCAAATTTTGAACCTGTTTCCTTGAGGTATGACTTATCGAGATTTCACTGTATTGGTAATTTGTGTCAAAAAAGTTACGGGTTTTTTATATTCTTTAAAATAAAATGTGTTTGTTTTACTCCAGAAATAACTAATATTGGTGTTATAGTTTTAATATTCCTACTTCACCATCAGTCGTCCCCAGTATAAATATCCTCCACGCCATGAAGATTAGCCTTCATAGTTCTGTCTGAAAGATATCATCCTAGTTGGTCTTCTTAATAATGCCCTCTAAAAATATCCTCCTAGCCAAAATGGTTTGTCTGTTTATTAACTCCTTCTTAAAAATATCCTCCTAGCCAGTATGGTTAGTCTCCTCCATTATGATTTATTAAATTGAAGTTAATACCTTGGTATAGAAGCACAAGAAAGACATCTACCTGATGACATCGATCTCTGCTCTCCAATTATCTTAGTGACATCCCTTATCGACTTCCGTTTTCTTCTCTCTGGAAGACCATCTTAGTAACAATGAATTAATACAGTTTAATTGTTCATTGAATAAACCTCAACTTTCCATCTACAAATTTTTTTCCTCATGAAGATCCTTGACATTCTCCATGAATCACCTCCAAAAAATCATCCAAGCCAATATGGTTCTCCTCCATAATTCCCTTCTAAAAAATATCATCCAAGCCAAGATGGTTAGTCCCCTCCATAATTCCCTTCTAAAAAAATATCTTCTTAGCCAAGATGGTTAGTCTCCTACATAATTCCCTTCTAAAAATATCATCGAAGCCAAGATGATTAGTCCTTTCCATAATTCCCTACTAAAATAATATCATCCAAGTCAAGATGGTTAGTCCCTCCATAACTCCCTTCTAAAAAAATATCCTCCTAGCCAAGATGGTTCTCCATAATTCCCTTTTAGAAAATATCATCCCAGCCAAGATGGTTAGTCCCCTCCATAATTCCCTTCTAAAAAATATCCTCTTGGCCAAGATCGTTAGTCTCCTCCTTAATTCCCTTCTAAAAAATATCCTCGAAGCCAAGATGGTTAGTCTCCTAAATAATTCCCTTCTAAAAAAATCCTCAAAGCCAAGATGGTTAGTCTCCTCCATAATTCCCTTCTAAAAAATATCATCCTAGCCAAGATGGTTAGTCTCCCCCATAATTCCTTCTACAAAATACCCTCCTAGCTAAGATGTTGATTCTCATCCATAATTCCCTTTTAAATGATATCCTCCTCGCCAAGATGGTTAGTTTTCTCCACTATTCTCCCCGATATTTCCTTCTTAAATAATCAATACAAAAAATAATGATAAATTATTAATACCTCGATATACAAATACTTTTGCAACGAACTGTCGCGTCAAGGTCACGACTTTTCTCAAACCGGCCATCTCACCTCCGATGATGATATACAGGGCGAGTCAAGAAAGCGGAACCCAAACCCCCAAAAATGCATTTCATATTTAAAAATATATGTAGCACAAAAAAGAATGACTGGAAAGCTAATTTCATAAACTACTTTCAGATGAAAAAATTATGAAATAGCTCAATCTGTTATGTCACCATTTAAACGCAATGACCCTAAAACCACTTTCGCCCAACAAATTACAATTTCGAGAGTCGTCGTCACAATTGTCTTCCAACATCACCAGCGATAAACCAGTTTAAAAGTTAAAAATATTAAACAAAGTCCTTTTGAAGGCCCGTCTTTAAAAAAAAAAGATTTTATAAATCATTTTGTTTGCCAAAGCAGGGTTGTATTGTGTACTACAGTTGTTGACAGCTGTTGAAACAAGTATTATGTGTCATTTTCTTTGTTGTTCCAAACAGTCGGAATACAAAATAAATTGCTTGCTTTTTGGGGGACGAAACAGGTTTTAGGGTCATTGCGTTTAAATGGTGATATTATATTAAATGACTTGCTCCAACGCCTTCTGCATTAACTCGGCAATTGAGATTGTTCATCCATATAATGCATGTTTGTTTCCAATCTGTGTTCGCCGCATTTATGCGGTACCCGCTGCTATGTACATCAGATTCGAACCAGCCAACCGATCTAGCTCGGTGGTCGAGTGGTAAGACATCTGCACTAGAAAGCGGGAGGTCGTGGGTTCGAGTCCCACCAGAGTGATATTTCCAACTTTCACTCGGGAGGTAACAGTGTTAAAATGTCGATGAAGGGCAAAGCCTGATTTGATTTAATCTGTGTTCAATGGGTAGCTTTGCCACAATGTTGAGATCTCAAGCATTAATTTAATTTTGTTGATTGCAACATTGGCTTGTTGAAATACTGAAATCAGTTGCATTCCGAGAGTTTTCCCCCCTCAATGAATGTTGTCATTTTTTCCAAGAAAGTTATTCCTAAGCCTATACGCTCTAAAAAAAAAACCACCCAGATTGACTGTAATAACCAATATTGGTTCCTAGGTATTCCCAACATTCATTTTAGTCAAGCTGCACCATCTGTTTCACCTCTCTCTTTCCTTTTATGACTTTTTTGTAGAAAACTTATTGATTTCACTTTCTAGGAATTGTTTGGTATTCATCATCCTTCGGCTGCGGAGTAGTCGACTTCAAGCTTCTTCCATTTATTGCGATCTTGGGCAAGTGTTGCGATTTGGTCTGGTCGCAGCATGCCATCACTTTCTCCAAGCAAGCGTTGAATACAAGTTAGGTATGATGTGAGTTGTCTTCCTGGTATCCTTCTCCGCTGGGGTGGTGTATAAAGGGCATACACTTTTGCAGGCTCTTCGTTTGGCATGCGGAGTATGTGTTTTGTATTACATGTATAGGAAAGTATAAAAAGGAAATGAAAGTATAAATGGAAAGTGCGACTTTATCATGTTTTGTTTAAACCCCTTTTTATATATAAATAGGGTACAAAAAGAAAACATCTCCTGGTATCCTTGCAAGTTCAGAAAAGCTAGAGAGAAAAATGACATGGGTCAAATTTAGAAAATAATGTATTGTATTCTGCAATCCACCACAAGCATGCTATTTGATCATATTTTACTTCTAAGAAAATAAAAGTTGAACCACAATTCAGCATCTGCTTTATTTGTTCGCAATTCATCATTGACATTTGTTATCTTCCAAAAACAAAGTATATAAATCTGTTTCTTCAAAAGTTCAGTGTTAACTGTCACCGCCAGTGATGAAGTTGAAGGAAAAATGTGCAATAATTTAATTGATACATTGAAAATTTGAAGTAACCACAAACAGCATTACTAAAATGAAAGTCCTGTCACTTAGCATAACGTGGCAATAAGTAAGATTTGAGGCTTTGCATGGTGAAGATACTAAATAATGAAAGGTTTGCGGAAACACCATGTGCGAATAATTTCTCAACTAAGAGAATGGTTCTGAGGTATAAACTCGACTTTCCGGTCAGTGTGCTCTGACCGTCTTCAGGAGAGTGCATAAACTCTAAGAAAGTGAATACTTAAGTAGCAAAAGTCGAAATCAATGAAGTGTGAAGTTGCATCCTGTGAGGATGCCAAGTAGACAGGATCCTACAGCAAGCTTAGTGCCCACTGAAGTGGAACAGTAGGGTTGCAGTGTCAGTAGAGGGAGGACCTAGGGTATAGGAGACCCATCAGTGTAAGGTAGTAGCTGAGGACCTAGGATATAGGAGACCCATCAGTCTGGAGAAGTGGGAGCCAGATGTCGTTGAGGTGAAACCCGATGTCTTGCGGAACTGTGTTGTACTTGCGGATCTCGATGGCTTCCCGTATGCGTCTTGGATGCCAGAACTGGATCGGTGCGATGAGTTCGGCCGCATCCCAATCAACTTTGTGGTCGTTGATGTGGGAATGTTTGACAATGGCCGATTTGTCAAAATCCCCTCGCCGTCCATGTGCTCTGTGTTCCTTGAGCCTAGTGGGAAGGGGGGGGGGGGTTCAACCCCTATATTTCTATATTCTATATTGTAGTGTTAATAATAGTCGAATTTGAACAGCGCCCCATATTGAAAATTGGTACAAGCCCCCCCCCCCCCCGCCAGATTTCTTTGCTAATGACCCCCCCCCCCCCTCCTGGAAAATTCCTGGATCTGCCCCTGACCTTGGATCCAGTTTATTTTTCACAGGTGACCATCCCTAACAGGGAGCTTCATGGCTGATAATTATTCCCTATAAGTTCCACTTAATTTTTTGTTTTATTGGGGGGAGGGGGGGGGGCTGCTTAAGCTTTCTCACAAACTTTGTAAGAAAGTTTTCGGTTCTGGGACTACAGTTCATTCTGTTGGATTTAATTCCCTGCAGTTACTCTTCAAACACCAATTTCCCAAGATGACACTTCCCAACAAAACTTTTAATTTGGCTTTAGATTTTGACTTTTGACTTTTACAAGAAAATCTACCATTTTTTAAAGCCTAATTAATGGGGTTATATTTTCTTATTCTGTGTCTCATGCACTTGCATTTCTTAGGAATTGCCGTATTTTCAACCAGTTTACCCCTTCACATTACTCTTCCCCAAACCCCAACACACAAAGGACCTACATGATCGGGTAAATCAAGTTGTCGGGGAATAAACTGCTTTGAAATGTAACATGTGGCTTTAGTTGCACTATATAGGTTATCACGTTGAGTGACTGTATATATAGAATGTGTATACCTGGAACTTGGCGGCGCCCTTCCTCATGAGCAGCTACTTCCCCAACCTCGTCCCCAGGGTGTCGAGCAGTACGCGCCCACCACTAGCTGCTCTCTCACCCTGGTATTGGATCATTTGCATGTGCAAGATTTTTGCAGGAACTTCAACGAGTTCCCTTCCTGCTTCGAAGGGGATCCTCCGTAACCCCCACAAAAAGGACAAAGGAAATCCCATTTCGGATGAGGTGATGAAATGGTGGGAAGAGCTTAGAACTCATAAACTTTCACCGGAAGACCACAAAGAGGAGTTGTCATCCTTTGCGGTTCCCGAAGAGCAGGATAAATATTTCTCTTCTCCGGAGTTGCCTGCCGGTATCAAGAAAGTATTCAAACAGGTAAATCCGTCCATTGTTGCTCAAGATGACAGACTAAAAACTGCTCAAGGTTACGCCCTAAAGGCAGCTTTGCCACTTCTTCACTTATTTGAGGCAGCTGCCGATCCCGAAGGTCTCAGTGAAATGAACAAGGATATGGTTATGGACGTAATTTCTTCAGGCCTAATTCTGTTAGGTTCTGCCAACCAAGGCCTCGCAACAACCCGACAACGTGCCTTTGATGACATCGTTGATAAGAAATTCGACGCCCTTAAGCGGAACCAACCTTCCATGGGGGATCTCTTCGGTTCTTCGCTGATGAAAGATATCGAGGAGACGGAGAAAGCCAATTAGCTAGCCGCGAAAGTTACAAGTGGTAAGAGCCATTCTTTCCTCCCTTAATTGCGCTTCTACCCAGGTGTTTGAGCAAGATCAGCGAGGAACAGGCCACGATTGTGCTCATCACCCCGGTCTGGCGCACGCAGATCTGATACCCCAGACTTCTGGAGATGGCCGTTCAAAATCCCGTCATTCTACCCAGGGGAAGAGATCTTCTCCAATTGCCTCACAACCGAACACTTGTCCATCCATTGGCAGATCTAATGTTGTTAGCCGCGTGGAAGCTGTCAGGGAAAACCTTCGCTCAGAGGGAATTTCTCAGTCAGTGTCCTTCACAGTCATGTCATCATGGAGGGACAAGTCCAAGAAGCAGTATGATTCAGCTTGGAATCGATGGGCCAGCTGGTGTCTTCAGAGGCAAGCAGATCCTGTTCGAGCACCTATAGCGGTATGTTTATCCTTTCTTCAAGATTTGTTAGATTCAGGGTTGCTATACAGAACTATCAATGTAGCCTATACAGATCGGCAATTTCCTCAGCCCACGTCTTTATAGACGGAGCACCAGTTGGACAACATCACTTAGTTAAACGTTTCTTCAATGGTGTTCTTAATTTGCGTCCTCCACAACCACGGATACAATGCTACATGGAATGTGGCAACTGTGTTGACTTTTTTCAAGTCTTTACCTGACAATCGTAGATTATCTATCAGACAGTTAACTCTTAAATTAACTATGCTAATTGCACTAGTTACAGCTAGTCGCTGTTCGTCACTTACAGCTATCGATATCAATCATATGTCAAGGTCCTCAGATGGCAGTTTTCATTTTTGGTTGGTAAAACCTTCTAAACGTGTGTCAGTTAACAAACCCTTCCACGATATAGAAATTGCTCGCTTTCAAGCTAACAGAAACTTTTGCCCAGTACGCACTTTGCAGGAATACCTCAACAGGACTTCTCATATTAGAAAAAATGGGAACTCTAGCATGACTCAGCTCCTGCTGTCACACTCCAAACCCTACCACCCGGTAGTGTCATCCACAGTCTCCAGATGGTTAAAAGATGTACTCAAAGAAGCTGGCGTTGATACTTCATGTTTCAAGGCCCATTCAACCAGGGGTGCATCTACCTCAGCTGCTGCAAGTGCAGGGGTAACAACTCAAGACATCCTGAAAACGGCAGACTGGTCATCCGTGACTACTTTTGCCAACTTCTACAACAGAAGATTATCTCAGACGGAGTTTGGTCAAGCAGTTCTGGCATCGGCACCTTGATGACCGGCTTTGAAGTATACAGGGTGAGTCTCTCCGGAATTGGCGTAATATAATTCCCCAATTATGTAAAGTACTTACCTGCAATATAATTGGAATTATATAAGACAATGGAGGAGAGACTCAGTCTCCCTCCCTTTTTTATGTTTTGTGTGCTTACAGGCACCTTGACTCCCGCCCGAGAACTAAATCAGGTCACAGGTCGCCTCCGCCAGTCATCATTGCTCCTCAAGCTTCAAAAAGACGATCCAGCACTCGAGCGAGGGGTACACGTGCACATAGCAAGCTATTCTTCAAGTTTGAATAGAGCGCTATTCTTCGAACTTTGAATACCTAATGAGGACTATTCCATTAGCTTCAAAGGGTGGTTAGATTGCAATACAAGGTACAATTATACAGGGTGAGTCTAGTCTCTCCTCCATTGTCTTATATAATTCCAATTATATTGCAGGTAAGTACTTGACATAATTGGGGAATTATATTGGTTGGTCGTGATAGCGCCCTCTTGCGGTGGCCGGTTATCGCGCGGTAGCAAACGTCATATGAACGGTAAACAAGAACAGCGTCTAGCTAGCCGGCCCGCCCCCCTACCTTTGCCCTAGACTAGGCTGCTGCAGTAGTTCCACACAGCGGTTTACGAGCTAGAAATAGAATTAAGTTGGAAGAAGCTCCGCCATATCTGGCCTTTTTACAGAACCGTACCGTAAGTCAGTTAAGATCACCCTCTTATCTATAAACTGGGAGATGACTGAAAGTGAAACCACATCTAGTGGAAACAAAATTAGGGCCGGTTTCGATCCAACTCGGACCCAAACCAACTCGGACCCATGCCAACTCGGACCCACTACCAACTCGGACCCATGCCAGCTCGGACCCACTACCAACTCGGACCCACGACCAACTCGGACCCACAACCAACTCGGACCCACAACCAACTCGGACCCATGCATGACCAACTCGGACCCATCATTTTCAATTATTCGACATCGTTTTCAATCATTCATTTCATAAAGTTTGTCCACGTCTCATCTGTTATTACAGTGATGCTGTTTAGTATAAATTTTCATTGTAATTGTAAGGTAAATTATCTCATATCTGTATTGCAGCAGTATAACATTTTTGTCGTTGTAAAGCGCATTAAAATGCTATTTTGAAATGCGCTTTAAAAGTGTAATTAATTATTTATTATTTTTATTTGTTTCCATTAAAACATATTTTGCTTTAAAAGTTTAACCAATTATTTATTTTCATTCAAACATATTAATTGACATCGTTCACACCATCTTGCTAAATTTAACAGCAATTTATTTCGTTTTTACTCCAAACTTCAATGTAACGAGTATACAAATTAAGAACAGATCTTCATAGAAAAATAAAATTGAAAAGTATGGCATTAAAACATAAACACTTTCAAACATATCATTATAAGTAAACATTAGAAATCAATAAATAAAATAAATAAGACATAAAAACGAAGTCTATTCTAATCTCTATTTTAAAAAAATAAACCACATAAACACCATTGCATACACTGCAAGAAAAACGAAGGTTCCATATTAAACAAAAAAGTTAAATCAAAAAAGTATAAAAACTTAATCGGATTCGTAAAAAAACCCACAAAATTCAAAGCCAGCATGTGAATTAAAAAATGATCAAGTTTAATCCCCTACAAATAGATGCAATGTCAATCATCAAAAAGGAGTATTGGAGCTCTGGGAAGATTATCCTTCAAGGCCTTACAGGTAGCTGCTAGTATGTTCCACTATGATGTTCCACGGGGGGAAAAAGTTAAATCAAAAAATTATTAAAAGTTAAACGGATTCATAAAAAAATCCCACAAAATTCAAAGCCAGCATGTGAATTAAAAAAACCCAAACAATTACATGAAATGAAAGGCCTAAATAGTTATTTCAAATTAATAACTTCCTCACTGAAACAAAATGTGCCACTTAAAACCACTTGTTACACGGCACAATTAAAGGCCTGCAAAAACAAACAAGTATAGTATTTTTTACTGAAAATAATAATCCTTTGAATTTCGTTTGGAAAAGAAAATTGAGATTTTGAAAAAGCACGTATATATCAAGTTGTACAAATGACATACGATACGGCCTAACCTATACTTTACGCTATTAATACCTCTTGGTTTAGCTTCACAGGTCACGGTTTCAAAAAGCTAAGCACGTTTAGTTTCATGACGTTCAAAACGATAAGCGTTTAGCAACAGTATTTACTGTACGCATTATAAAATAGCGCTCCACACATCGGCAATACAAGAAAACAACAAAACTAAAAGCCCCATTCTGCCCAATGTAGTTACAGAATATCTTCACTATAAGCACTAACATTAAGATCACCTATAAATATAATCTCTGAAACTAAAGATTGAGTCATTGTTGGGTCCGAGTTGGTCGTGCTTGGGTCCGAGTTGGTAGTGGGTCCGAGTTGGTAGTGGGTCCGAGTTGGTCGTGGGTCCGAGTTGGTCGTGGGTCCGAGTTGGTCGTGGGTCCGAGTTGGTCGTGGGTCCGAGTTGGCATGGGTCCGAGTTGGCATGAGTCCAACTTGGCATGAGTCCGACTTGGTTTGGGTCCGAGTTGACCTAGGGCCTATTCTAAAGCTGGTGTCCGGAAATTGGGCAACTTGAAACACAGGCGATTATTAGTGTAGTCAGGTAGGCATGGTAGGGTACTGTCAATGACTCGATCGACTGTAGGGCCCCGGCCTGTTTAGTTTCGATTAAATTCTAGTCAAGGGTGTTTTTTTATTACTCAAAGTCAAAATGACCTTTTTAACCTACAGCAGACGGTACAACTATAGAATGCAGGGCCACTACACTCTACATCTGCGCCTCTGTACGGCTGCGTGGAGGCGTGGAGCCGCAGTCGACCTACCTCCAAGAATTGCGCCCTCTATCGGCGCGCGACGACTCCGCGCCTCCGCGACTCCAGTGCCCCGCGTCTCTCGACTCCGCGACTCCGCGACTCCAGTGCCCTGCGTCTCCGCGCCTCTGCGACTCCAGTGCCTCGTCGCCCTCCTCCCTTCCTTTGCGAGGAAATTAAAAATGGATATGGATGCTTCGCTCTCAAAAAAATTCTGCCGAGAATTGCGTCCTCTATCGGTGGCGCGAGTCTCTGTGACTCCGCGCCTCCAGTGCCCCGCGTCTGGTCTATGCGACTCCGCAACTCCGTGGCTCCGTGCCCCGACACATTTACAAGCGCGCCCTCCCTTCTGATCATTGATGAGAAGACAAGTGCATTCGCTGTACTAAGCACTTTTGCAGGTTTGCATATTATTATATTGTAGCCTATTAGGCCAAAAAAAAAAATAAGTCGGTCTCTGGTCAGCGCGCGCGTCGATCTTTTTTTTCCCAAAAAGTTCCGCGGTAGCTCCAACAGCGCCCTCTATTTCCGCACCTCCTCAATTTGTTTTACCAAAGAGCACCAAGGAATGGGAAATTGCACCAAGGAAAATGATCGAAAGCACCAAGGCAAATTATGGAGGACACCAATGTACATGAGGACACCAAAAAAGCAAAATAGTACCCCACCTTGTCTGTACAATCCAAGCTTGAAGAAGAAAAAAAAAAGCGTCACCGCGTCAATTCCGGAACTTTGGTCTGACCAGACACCGAATATTTTTTTTTTTTGGCCTTGGTATTACTCCTATCCTCACATCGCCGGCCTCGATCCACGCCTCCAAGCAGGGAAAAAAACCTTGCCTTGGCATGGCCCTGCATTCTATAGTTGCTCCCAGCAGACTTCTCCCAATATAATCTTCTTCTTGCGTGTCAATATAATGTCATGACACATTTGTTTGTAATTTTTGAACTTTTCTTTTTTTTCTTGGGCATGTTTGGGTAGAAATGACGATTTTCCTAAGCGGTTTACTGTTGGTGCCATGTGATTCAGAGTGCGCCTTGCCATGCTTGCTTGTACGTTCACATGAGCGTTGTGTTGATTAAAAGTTGCTCTTTAGACATGTCTGCATGTTAGAATGCCGGATGAGATTTATGCGACCAGAGTGCAATATTAAATGATGAAATCACCAATCATTGCGGTGCAACTTTTGCAGCTATAAACTGGAATTCATATAGTGCACAATGCATTCGTAAATGCGAAGTGCTTCGGTCTAGATACAGAATAAGTTATGCAGGGAAGATTTCACTTTTGTTAATTGTGCAATTGTATGGGTCATTCTTTTGTAAGTGTCTACTTTGGGCCTTTTGAAAATTGCGAAACAAAAGGTTTCAGATGTTGAATTTCTTTCATGGAATGTGATCATTATGTTGTACAGCAACTACAATTAAAGGGAATATACATCATTTGCTTTTGCTGTAATTTTCAGAAATGGATGGAATTGGGGGGTTGGAAATATAAAGCAAATATAGTTACACTGACTTTTTGGAGGTTTTGGGTTCGAAAATGCTATAAAAACCAAGAAAAACGATCATTTCCTGTAGTCTGGTTCCAGAAACAGAGCAGTTTACATACATTGGGGAATTGTAAGGTCAGGGAACCAGTCTAGCTGGCTCGTACCCGTTCATAGGTTTGTAATCGATTGCAAACAAGTGCAATGGTCAATTGGGGCCAGTATTTGAAAAAAAAGCCAGTTGTTTCCAACGCTGATCGGCCGATCAGCGTTGGAAATTGATACAAAAATACCACTTTTCTTGAAAATGACAGTATACCAGGTGCCATAATTTTACAGGATGCTTTAGACTGTCATTTACCAACATCCTATTAAGGTATTTCGCAAAAACTTGGTAGTTTTATTTTTCGATGTTTGCAAATGTTGTATATTCCCTTTAACGCACTGCACAATCTTTAGGGAAGTTTCAACCATTTTATCAACTTTAAATTTTCATTGTTGTCATATAGGAAAAAATGGAAAAGGCATATCCTTCACACTTTTTGTGACGAAAGCGAAAATTGTTAAAATAAACTTAAGGATTTAATTTGGCCTATAAAGGCATATTTTAGAGGATTGAATAGATGCAGAGTATTTTCATGAAGGAAAGCCCCTCAACCAAATACATGTACATATGTTTTACGTTCATCGCTATGTGGATTGTTTTCGTTTTGCTGAAAGAACTTTAAAACGTTGTTATTCTGTAACCATCCATGGTAACTTAAAATGTACATGAGTGATTTAAATGATTCTTATACTAAAAGAAAGCTCATGAATTGGGCTTTACATATCCTAGATTTTGAAAGCTATTTCCTATATTAGTGAATCACACGTGATAAAGAACAAGCAACAGGTGTGTTATAATTTTAGCTGTTGCATAGTTGTGTGACAAAAATGCCACTCTGGTCATTTTCTTGGACTCACCTGTACGCCTGGGTAACTTTTTATTAGCTTCCATCCACTATTATAACTGTTTGATGACTTATTTTATCGCAAGTATTCACCAACCGTCAGCTGTTTTCATGCACTGCCACTGCCATGTGTTTGTGTGTGCTAAAAATAGAGTTAGGGTAAATCCAACATGGCCGCCTCCTTGTTTCTAAAATCTGTTAGGATTGGCCTAAAGTTTTTAAAGAATATTTCTGATTTTAGATTATAAAACTGAGATTTATAAGAGTAGAAAGTTGTATTTCCTTTATCTTTACCTATTTCAACACTTTAGATTAAGTTTTTGGCCCTCCCTTCGGGTAAATAAATTCCAGAGATTAGGCCCCTAGACTCGTTCCTCACCAGTGCAAAGTGCACTGCCATTTACTGTATTTTCTCAGCTTTGAATTAATTCTATGTTTAAGCTCATCCTTGGCATTGTTCTTTTGACTGTTGTTCAGTTTTGAATTAAATTGCTAGTTTTCGAGTTGTGTTGAAGATTTGCCTGAGGTGTATCTTTCTTGAGTCAGTCCTTAGGAACTAGTAAGACTGTTTGTCACTTCACTTATTGCTTCTTCACTGGGTCATATATTTTGACTACGAACTTTAGACGCAGATTAAGAAATACTAAACCGGTGAGGCGGAACTCCGGGGGTTTAGGGCCTATAAATTTTCCGCCTGGTGGCAGCGCTATCGTCCTGGTAACATCTTGGACAAGTTTGACGGACCGCGAATCATACGGACCGATCACACTTTTCAAATTTCCACCACAGTTGGTTTCATTTCTAATAATCACAAAGTTCATAATGTTTTCTCAATATATCTTGCAGGTATCGTCTCAGAATGTCTTCAAAATACAGTGCATTATCACCAGCGGAAAGGGCGCCATACAGGCTTCTGAAAGCTATCCATGAAGACAACGTCGCTGTGGCAACACAACTGTTGGAGGATTATGATATTGATGTGAATTTCAGAGGCAAGGTGAATTAGCATGTGGGAGAGATTTTCTGATCACTATTGTTTTTACAAACTTGCGTCTAGTACAAAATTCGTTTCGTAATGTTTTTGATTTGAATTTGTGATTCAGCTATCGTCTGAGTATTTCACCTCTTATTAACTGAGCCAATCTCTTGTATAACATCTGATATATCTTGACACGCAGGTATATGCAAGCCGCGCGCCAGCCAATCGGAGTTGATTTTGCTAAATCGTGATGTCATTTTATTCCTAAATCAGGACTAAATGGTTTGATTGGTCAATTCGAATGCAGTGTTTTGTAATACAACAACAGCCGGGCAAGATATCCCGTAACATGATGCAGAGTGCGTGACATTTTTGTTTTATCCATTGTCTATGACTCGCAACGGGTGAATGACCGAAGACCCGATTTAGAAAGCGCTCACTGATTGGACAAAATCTAGGAAGTCAAGAGGCGGGGTCTTTTCCTAATTAATCAGCAAATCTGTTCACGCGTAATAGACCCTATTGTTTCGCCTGCCCATATTGAAGTCAACCATGATGTCATGAACAGAACTGGATCTATTTTAATATAGGTTCAGGTTAGCAAGGCCCACCATTCACTTCTTTGTGACTGAAATGGGTCGGTGTAAATTTTTGGATTTTCTTCCTGGGTAAACCCAGGTCCTGACCAGGTTGAAATGCTACCTATGTAGAGCACTGCTTCCATGTAGAAGCCATGCTGGACATTCTCGTGGCCCTTTAGCTAGTTGTGCATATACATGTATGTCTTTCATTTGACAGGTTTTTAAATAGTTTATTTCTATGTGGAAGGAAAGATGCATATATTTTTTTCCTTCTTTTTCTTTAACAAGCTGACTGACACCACTGTTATAAATGGTGGTAATGGGTAAAAGCCCAGTTCTGAATTTACATGTACGGGGTAAGTAAAAAAAACAAACCCCAAATGTTGGGACATTTTTGTTTTATTGAAGTTCTGCATGTAGCACTTTCAAAATTTAGGATATGAAAGCCCAATTCATACACTTTCTTGTACAAGAATCATTCAAATCACTTTAAGTAACTGAATTTAAACACCACTACATTTTTAAAGTTCTGTCCACGGATCACAAAAAGGTGTGTGTCCTTCCAGCAAAACCAAAACGATTCACACACATTCCTGTGTGATTTGTTTTCGTTTTGCTGAAAGAACACTTATGTTTTTGTGATCCGTGGACAGAACTTTATAAAACGGTGGTTGTGTTTGAAATTCTGTAACTTGAGAAGTACATGAGTGATTCGAATGATTCTTGTACTAAAAGAAAGCTTATGAATTGGGATTTCATATCTTAGATTTTGAAAGTGCTACATGCAGAACTTCGCTTAAACAGTGGTCCCGACATTTGGGTTTCAGGTTTTTTTTACTGACGCTGTACATCCTCCCAATGCAAAACTCCATCATATTAAATGGTGTATGTTTTGTTTTCCCACTGGCAGCTCATGTTTGGAGGCTTTACATTGCTGATCCGAGCAGCTTTCAGTTCCCCAGGGATGTGCAGAGTCCTTCTGGACAAAGGAGCCGACATCAACTTGACGTATAGCAAGGTTACTATAGCAACCTTTTATCCTAACCTCTTACGCGTTTTGCTTAATCCACCAATGAAATTCGGTCAGTACGTGTACTTTGTGCCTCTTAGTGTTGTAGTACTCGTACTTGGTACTAATACTTGAGTACTACTTAAGTACCTTTTCTAGAGTACTCGTACTCATTCTTGTACTCGGGAAGTACTTGTTCTCGGAGACCTATGCTTGCGTACTCCTACTCGTACCCGGCAACCTAACTCCATGTACCCGGAAAAAGTACTCAACTTCAACACTTAATTTTATTAAATGACCTAAATTTTCTAGTCTCATTTCCTTTGAAAACACTTTGATTTGGGACTGCTATTGAAGATTAAAGAAAATGAGTTTCAAATTATTGAAAAATGCTTACAAAGACTGTCCGTAGTTTTTTATCACAAGTAATTAACACATAATTTTTGGCTTCAAGCACAATGTACTAGGACTCGTGCTGGTACTCGGAAATACAAGTACTCATACTCGTATTCGGTGGTCCAAGAACTTGTATGCGGAGACCTGTTCTTGTCCTCAGAAGTACTCGCACTTGTAATCTTTCTCTGCAGCCTAAGAACTCGGCTGTACTCGTTACTCTTGACTACAACACCGGAACCTCACAGAAACAGATGCACTCTCGGAGCCTTTTTTCCCTCAATTCCTCATGTGTGACGGAAGCATCAGATAACTTGCCTATATTTTTTTCCTCCTGAAAATTCTTAAATTTTTATGTCCAACTTCCAGAATGGTGCCACTGCGTTGATCGCCGCTGCTGAACGGAACACTGAATCCTGCAAGATTCTCCTTGAAGCGGGTGCAAATGTCAACCAGGCCGACGACGTAGGTCTCATAAATATTTCTAAATTATCACTGAATTTTGCATATGAAGTCTCCGGACTTTGTGTTAGCTATTAAGATCTTGTGAACCCCCCCCCCCCCCCATGTAAACTTGCATACTGTGCCAAGCCGTCCTTGCAGTTAAAATCAATAAAGTGACTGTTGTTTACTCTTAAACATTCCAGCCTTGTGTACCCGCTATATGGTGAATCTCAATTTTTTCCCATAAACTTGATTTAGCTGTCTTCAAAAAAATATACAGAGTTGGTGTGAATCATTTGTTTTTCGTTTGATTCCAGAATGGTTCAACACCTCTGCATGCTGCGGCTATGTCAAACCCATCAGCCATCCCAGTGTTATTGGCCGCAAAAGCTGATGTGTCTGCAGTGGAGTCAGGGGACACAGTGAGTATTACAATCATTTGCATCTCATGCATATTGATGAGCCGATCCTCTCACTTCATTGGTCACTGATCTGGAGCAAAGAAGAAACTCATTCTCTGGTATCTTTCGTGCACTGGAAGGGTTGGCCATGCAGGAGTCAGCCACTAAAGTACTCTATACTCTATACTCGGATTTGAGAACTCGACTCCAACACTGGAATTCAAATCAACAAAGGATTAAACCATTAAACCACTGGAATACAGCCTTGTGGTTGCGAAAGCCTATGCATCGCCATTGTTCAAAAAAGTTAAACCGATTACGTACATGGGCGCTGCCATCAGAGCAGTGAAATTCATGCAGCCCAAAAAAAAACATGGCTTTTGAATGTTGTGTTTTTTCAGAAAATATGTTCAGTCTTGATTGAAAGGTTAAATTATCAAATCGTTCGAAAAGGTCCCCAAATCTATCTATTTATCTCAATTTCTAGGAATCCCCACAAGTTGTTACTTCACAAATAATTGAACACTAATATCATCTAAGTACTGTATATTCCAAATTTCCACTTAATCTGTTGTTGCAAACACTTCTGTTACACTTTGAACTATCTCCAAGGAAAATGTTGACGAGCATATTTTCCGACCGAACTCATGCGCATGGTTTTCAGTTTGGCCGATTTTGGGGCAACAATGACGAAGCGCATATTAGCATATTCATTAGCGTGACTCGGCATGTCTTCGCGTGGGTCTCGGTATCGACCAATGGAAGCTGGCAAAAAGGGTGATATTTATTAAAAACTTGTGAAGGAGGCGCTATTGCAAATGTTTACTGCTCACCATAATGGATAGGAACCTTATTAATATTCATGAGGTTTGAAAAGATTGACAGATATTGCAAGTGCCATGTGTTAGAGCTTTGAAAAATTGACGTACCCAAGCCTATTTTGCCAATTTCAACGACATATCAAAACGATTTTAAGCACATAGTTGGATCATTTATAAGGGAAATAAACCCTGAAAGTTGCATGAAGATACGGTCTTCCAAACAGGAGAAATTGATTTTCAAAGATTTCTCCTGCAAACATCCACATGTCCATGTGCATGTTGACCTTCACAACCACATGGCTGGTATATCGTAGGGTTTTAGACACAAGATAAATAATGTAAACAAAAGGACACCCAAACAAGCAGTGTTTCGAGCTTCCTAACTCAGAAACTTTCTCGTGGGATGTGGACAGCGTGACCCCAAAGATGGTCACTGGATGCCAAAGGTCTAATGATTCATGCATATGTGCTGTTGTTTATGTTGTAGGAAGGCAGACAGCCCCTGCACTATGCAGCTCAGAAGAGCCCAGAGGCCTGTAAACTCCTGCTGGATGCTGGGGCCGATGTCAACGCACAGATCAATGTGAGTCCAACCTTGTTCCGCTTTTCTTTTACAAGAATCTCCGTCAAAAAGGGCCAGCCAAGGTGGTGACCAAATAATAAGAAATCAAGAAGCCAGTATCTTAAAATATTTGCACAGACTTGGGTATAATTTGTAAGACAGTTAAACGAAGGGGAAAGACAGATCTTGTTCAGTAAGTAGATTTTGGATCACAGACCAAGTTTTTACTGTATGTTTATTTATTTTATTTATTTATGTATTGGTTTTGGTAGTGGGGGATAGTGATCTGGATCTCACTAAAGATAGAGGTGCTTTAAAAGGAAATAGCTTAAATCACTATTTTTTGGGGGGGCCACGCCCCCCTCCACCATGCACCCACCCCCCAACCACTTTCACACCTTTTTCACTCCCCCTCCCTTTCACCTCCCCCCTTGTTTATGCCCGGCGAAGCCGAAGGGGCATACTGTTTCCGCCTTGTCCTTCCGTGGGTGGGTGGGTGTGTGTGTGTGTGTGGGTGGGTGTGTGGGTGAGTTTGTCTTACATTCCCTATGTGGACTTGTGAACAAAAGATGTCCACATAATGCAGGTTGTGTTAACGTTATGTGGACTAAGCCGTGTCCACATAACGTTTTGCCCTTTCTGGAAAACAGGTTTAGGGGCATTTTTGGGTTAGGTTTATGTGTAGCAGAATGAAGAGAAACACTATAGGGAATCATAGAAAAAAAATTGGGTTAAAAGAGTTTTCACAGTTTAAGTAAAGTTATTTTTTGTACCGAGTTTTCTTACTACACAAAAACAAAGGAATGTCCACACAAGGTATGTAACGTAAACCGGTGTGGGTGGGTGTGACTACAAATTCGTATCCTTGTGGAGACACACACACAATAGGGAACAAAACATTGTAAAGGTCTCCACAGGGCAATTTCTATAGATGAATAGGTCTCCACAAGGTTTTCACGAAATAGATATATGGGTTTTACTCAAAAACTAGGAATTTCCAAGGTGGGTTGATCTGTCGCAAATGGAAGAGTTTTAGAAAAGGGATATTAAGTCCAAATTTCAGCCAAGGAAACTAATTCTGGTTAAAATAAGGGCATTTTGAAACTTCACTTTCAAAATTGAACACTTTACTACACGACAACAAAGAAATGTCTCCACAAGGATACAAATTTGAGAGTGGGTGTGTGTGCTCTTGTATTGTATTATACGCTCGAGGACAGACAACAGAAGGAGCACAAAGGAGCCTTTGACCCTCGGACGACGGTGCCTATTGTTAAAACCGGTCCTCGATCGTACGGTTATGTGCTTAGTCTATGGGAAAGTGTTATATTAGAGGGACAAAGGAAAACACAATAGTTGACCTCAGGCCTATAGTAAAAAAAGACGGTGGGTGTGTGTGTGTGTGTGTGTCCGGACAAATCTTGTCAGCGCGATAACTTGAGAAATACTTAACATATGAACTTCAAATTTGGTTTGTGTATTGTTCTTAGTAATCCTAAGAACCCTTTTGCATTTGGGGCCGAAAGGTCAAGGGTCAAGGTCACAGTGACTAAAACAAAAGAAATTTTGTCAGCACGATAACTTGAGAAATACTTTACATATGAACTTCAAATTTGGTTTGTGTATTGTTCTAGGTAATTCTAAGAAGCCTATTGCATTTGGGGCTGAAAGGTCAAGGGTCAAGGACACAGTGGCTGAAACAATAGAAATTTTGTCAGCGCGATAACTTGAGAAATACTTCACATATGAACTTCAAATTTGGTTGTGGATTGTCCTTGGCAATCCTAAGAAGCCTATTGCATTTGGGGCCAAAAGGTCAAGGGTCAAGGTCACAGTGGCTAAAACAAAAGAAATTTTGTCAGCGCGATAACTTGAGAAATACTTTACATGTGAACTTCAAATTTGGTTTGTGGATCGTTCTTGGTAATTCAAATAGGCCTATCGCATTGGGGGTCGAAAGGTCAAGGGTCAAGGTCACAATGGCTAAGACAATAAAAATCTTGTATTTATTATGAGATCATAGGGATTAGGGATTAATTCATATAAAACCTACAGAAGACACTAATGCTGTCAATTAACGTTCCACGACCAATTAAGGTACATGTAAGTTGAGGGCAATTCCACACCAAAGTGGACATGACACCAAAAAATTCAAATTCATGTGACTTAAACAAATTTGGCATCAAATGAAAGCTAAAGTCTATATTTGCAAGATTTGAAGTCGGAATTTGATTTTTGATACATTTCGGTACCAAAAAATAGGATTACGTAATAATCCTGTTTTAATCCTAAAAATGTGATTAATAGTGATATGAAAGTATTCTACCAATACACACACAAAATATGTACTAATGCCATCAGTTTCTGTCATGAGAAAGTATTGGCCTTGAAAAACTGACTGAAACTTGTTTTTAATGTTTTGCGTAATTTGTTTCGCTTCAGTGACTTCTAATATTTCAGCCTTCGAAAATGTCCTTCCGTTACCGAAAAAATACATATTTTTAATTTATTTTTAAAACTTGCAGTATGAATGCATTGAAAGTTATTGTGCAAAGCAAGTTTAGGTAGGCCTTCAATATGACATTATAACCGACACTGCTGTACTTCTCGTTTTTTAATTACAATTAATTAAATCACGTCCTTCCGTTACCAAATTGGTAACGGAAGGACCAATCAAAGGCTCCGCAGTGCTGTCAGGTGCTCATCGATGCGGGAGCAAATGTCAATGTACAGTTCAACGTGAGTGGCATGTATTTTATCCCAAAAAAATAAGTTGCTATGGAAATGTTGCAATTACTGCACTGGAAAAATGCAGTTTCAAGAATCTTCGTAAAAATTGTCTTCAAACATTACCAGCTATAAAACCTCGGTTTAAAAGTTAAAAATATCAAACAAAGTCCTTTTGAAGGCCCACCTTTTAAAAAAGTTGCTGTTGTAAATCATACTGTGTGCCTAAGCACGGTTGTTAGTAAAGATATTGTGTACTACAGCTGTTGACAGTTGCTGAAACAAGATTTCTGTTTCATATTTTTGTTGTTCCAAACAGTCAGAACACACAATAAATTACTTTGGGGGGGGGGACGAAACAGGTTTTAGGTTCATTGCATTTAAATGGTGATATTCTTTGAAGGGATTGAGCAATTTTAGTAATTTTTTTCATCTAAAAGTAGTTTATGAAATTAGCTTTCCAGTCATTATTTTTGGTGCCTCTTTTTTTTTTAAATATGAAATATTTTTGGGGCCTTGTTTTTTACTCACCCTGTATAAAACAAACACTGAATATTTCACATTTGTGCACGTGAAGGGATAATTTTATTTGGGTTTTATTTTTTCCTGCAGTCAACCGGGGAATCTCCTCTGCATGAAGTCACGTTCCCCGGAGTGGATGTCAGCTATTGCCAAGCTTTGCTCAAAGCTGGAGCTGACGTGGAAGCCATAGATCATGTACGTATGTACGGAAAGAACCTGCGCCAAACTAAACGCTTAGGCTATCAGTTTTGGTCCAAAAATTGGGCCACTGGTATCAAATGATCGATGGAGCAATGCTCATAGCGATTTTTGGCAAGGTATGCACATCTAGAGTTGGAAAATGTCTGACAGCTTTGCAGTGTGAGCACTGGGATTTTTTGGGGTGTTATTACTTTTAATTTCTTTTTCAAAATGGCCGGCCGTCAATATGCTTGTTACCAGATGAATTATATGTGGTAACGAGCATGTTTTGGCCGCCATTTGATACTGTTAAAATCACTCTTGGGAATCAATATTTGTGGCGTTTGGCTGTGTATCAGAAGTTGGCTGGAAAATGTTGCCGTTGAAAATTTTGCCATTGACAATTTTGCTGTTAACAATTTTCGAAAGTTTTCGACAAAACTAAACCCCTCCTTCAGTGGTTAAGAATTGAGATATTTATATCAGAATTCTGCAGAACTTCAGCTTTCCAATGGTATACAACAATTGTAAGGGATACTGAGTTCAGTAACGCAAATATAGACTACCAACTCACTTCAAGTTGTAATAGAAAACAGCATTTAAATATCCGGCAGTTGTGTCATAGATAGGATGAAATAGATTTTAGAGATGTTTGACAGAACCAAAAACCCCAAGAAAGGTAAAACAGGACTTATACAGGGTGAGTCAAAAAAGCAAAAACCAATGTTGGGACTTCTGTTTAAGTGAAGTTCTGCATGTAGCACTTTCAAACTCTAGGATATGAAAGCCTAATTTGGGCGATTCACAATGCAGTGTGCCACCAAGAGTTTGCCATGGAGAGTCAACTTTTCAAGTTAACGGTCGACAAATATGGCCCATTTGAATGAGTGTCAGTAGACACTTGAGCTAATTTGTTATAGATTGGGGCATAGCGTTCTGCCGCCTTACCAAAAATCACCATATGCTCAGAAAAGAAAAGGGCAAACATATGCTCGAATCATACGCTTACGAAACTACTGACCGGAAAAAACGAACAATTTCAAATGTCCCGCGCTGCGAAATTGTCGACCATCTTCCACAATGCACTGCGAAAAATTAACTCTCCGTGGCAAACTATTGGTGGCGCTCTGCATTGTAAATCACCCGAATTCATAAACTTTCTTTTAGTACAAGAATCATTCACATCACTCATGTACTTTTCAAGTTACGGAATTTTAAACACAACCGCCGTTATGAAGTTCTGTCCACGAATCACAAAAAGGTAAGTGTTCTTTCAGCAAAACGAAAACAAATCACATAAGGATGTTTGCGAATTGTTTTCGTTTTGCTGGAAGAACGTACACTTTTTTTGTGATCCGTGGACAGTACTTTATAATGGTGGTTGTGTTTAACATGTTTAAAATTCTGTAACTTGAAAAGTACATAAGTGATTTGATTGCTTCTTGTTCTAAAAGAAAGCTTATGAATTGGGCTTTCATAGCCTAGATTTTGAAAGTGCTACAGAACTTCACTAAAGCAATAGTCCTGACATTCGGGTTTCATTTTTTTTTACTCACCCTGTAGATTGAGTTTCTTTTGAAAAAAAAAAAAAATCCCCCTCAAATGTGGCTTTTCCCCACTCTACTGCAAAATGGCAATTCATTTCCGAATTCAAGCTCTTTTTGGTAAGGTGTATGCAGTGTATGAACGGTTCAGATCCCACTCAAATGGGCGGATGTATATTAAGAGATTCTCAGAGATTCTCCAGACTGAAATTTCTGGTTTCTGTGGACTTATCACAAATTTAGACTGGCAGCACGGCATTACACTATGCAGCCAGGTCAAATGCACCAGTCTGCAAAGCACTACTGGATGCTGGGGCCAAGTATGACTGCAAAGATGACGTAAGTTCTATCATTATACATGTACATCAAGACTATCCCAAGAAAATGCACATCGCATGGCAACAGGGAATAAAGAGTGACAAATATTTGTTTGAATGTCGCAGGTCATTTGCGTAACATGTGATGTAATTCACTTGAAACTTAACAGTAACCGAAGGTTAAGGATTTTTGCAGAATCAAGGATTTTGCAGAATTGACGAAAAAGGACGGTAGAGTCTAATCCAATGTTTGTATTATTATTATTATTTATAATTATGCTCAAAAGTGTCCACGGCACTGTAACTTGCAAGCCTGAAGAAACCTGTAGGGGGAAGGCATATGCATTGAAAGTAAATTGCAGTTTAGAGGTAGGAAAAAAACCCGAAAAGAATATTCCCGGGAAATCCCTCGGAATCAGTCAGGGACTGAAAACCCAATCTACATATCGGCCCAGGCGGGATTCAATCCCAGTTCACTAGTGGTGGAAGGCAAGGAAATTACCGCTACTCCAACCTGACTCCCCCAATTTATTTGACATGGGGCTTGATCCCTCTGAAAATTGGAGTGATTTAGAGGATTCTGAAAGTAAGGGTTCAGTACTTTATTATCAGAGACTTGTGGTTATTCCCATGTGATGACTTGTGATTACATGTGATGACTTGTGATGACATTGAATAGCTTGATTACAATTGTGTTTGTTTTGTGTTAGGATGGGAATGTTCCCATGATTTTGGCAGCTGTGGGAGATAATGTGGAGGCCATTCAACATCTCTTGGACAAAGGCGCACGCCTTGATGAGGTCTTTAAGGTAAAGATCCTCTCCAGCCAAAAAAAAAATAATCAATAGGGGCCAGAATGTAGCAGAAGTCATCTTGCTTTCCAAATATTTGTGGGAAGCATGCTCCTTGATTCCGTTCTGAAGGTGCTTGCATTTGGCCAAACTTTTCAAAGAGTTTTGGGATATTGTTAGGGTCACAGCAAATTATGGAAGATGGTTTGTGAAGTGTTCTATATTCCGTCCTGCAAATTCATAATAAAATTGGCACATTTCTCGAATGTTTGATTTGATTTGGAATTTGCTTTCCTGATCATAAGTCAGAGCAATTTCTCTGACGATTATCGACAAAATGTCACTCCTGCTCGGGAAGTAGAATTTTTTTTTTCTTTTTGAAAGTCTTTGGAGTTCTGACTTTTTGTGATTTTTTCAGCCTTACATATGTAGTATTTATTGAAATTGCAGAAGGGGAACAGCCCACTACATTGTGCAGCCATGATGAATAGCACAAAAGCCATTGAATTATTGATTGATAAAGGAGCTGACCTCCAGGCAAAAAATCAGGTAAGCCGTTTCCACGTTCCTGGAGCCAATTTCATGGAGGGCTGTTATATCTTTAACCCTTACCACCACAACTCCGTCGAAATCCATCCCCCCATTTAGGTGGATTTTGGGGAACTTTGTCCAGAAGGCCCGGCGTGACTAAATATTGATGGAGGATGATGGACTTGTGCCTAATGACCGGAGCAGTGCTAGGGGTATCCCATTGATTTTAACTAGCTTCCTGTACTACTGTTGTGATAAAAGTCATGTGTAGCAAGTCCATGAATGTCAACCAGTGCGTCAGTGGTGGATTCCATTATGTCATGAATGTACAGTTTTGTATTGGAAGTACGGTGATTGATGGATTGTGATGGACTTGGTCCAGTTCCTAGTAAAAGGCACTAGGGAGTTAGGGATGAACCAATCTAATGATGGTTTGCGGTTACCAGCGACACCACACGCGCACCAGATGACGGCTGATGTATGATGCACTGTGAGCGAGTTCCATGCATTCTCCACTCGGCTTTGCCTTTTTGAGGACCACTCATAGTGCATCATCAAACAGCCGTCTTGCTGCGAGCCTGATTCTTGGCCAAATATGGAATGGTCAGATCCCTTAATGTTTTAGTCTGGCAACAAGAACCACCTGCTGGCATTATTTGTACGCAGTTAAAGTTGGCCTGCTGTACACATGCGGAGTTTCACTGAAAATGCCTCTTTTTATCTAGTTCAGCTTGATTGTATTGTCATTTTCAATATTTTCTGTTGTTTTAACAATATAACTCCAGTCGTTGGTGAGTATTTACTTGTAAGTTGAACGGAAGTGGAATATAGCGTCACGCGTCTGCGCGCCTTTACCAAAGGCTAGGTGACGTGGAACAATAAGCATTTTGTGGACCTTTTTACTCCCTCGCAGGATGGGTTGTCCCCTCTTCATCACGCAGCCTTTGAACATCCTGAAGCCACAAAGATACTGCTGGCTAAAGGAGCTGACATCGAAGCCAAAATGACCGTGAGTAAATTTCTCCATACAGGGATAAGATTTGTCAGGACTTTTTTCCTTATTTCATGACTTTTAAAAAAGGCTTTTGAACTCCGGAATTGATGAGACTTTACGATGAAGGACTCTTTACCTACCATGCATTGACCTTATTAACGAGGAAGCAATTTTTGTTGTGTTTCCTGAATGTGTTTAATAAATTGTGAACTGTTGAATGGGATGGTGCCAGACTATTTATTCATTCTTGCCTCACTTTTTATTTTTTCATGTGGCTTAAAACATTAGGGTATAATCACAAATTTTAAATTATTCATCAGTGCAGACTGGTATTAATTTGTAATGTCATTGCTTGCATTTCTCTACACAAGTTCCAAAAAATGAAGATTTTACCTCACTCTCAATTTTATGATGGCCAACTTGTGAGTAAGGCCAATAGGGGCCTCCTTGATACTTAGTTTCTTCCAATAAATAAATTTGGTCGTTACTTTGTAACAAACAGGTAGAAGCCATTTCAAAAATGAGGATAAAAGTGTTTGTCTTGTTTTTTATCCCCCTGGCTTTCATGCCAGACAGGGGGCGATATTGCAATCGCATATTCCTTCTGTGTGTTCCATTTTGGTTAGGTTCACTGTAAGTCCTGTCATCAATCTCAACTAAACTTGAAAAGTGGTCTGTGGAGGGCAGAAAGATGTCAAAAAAAGTTCTTTCCAATATGGATATTTATGAGTTCTCTGGAGAGCTCAGCTCAGTACTAAAAATGACTCTAATATGTGTCAGTAATAGGCCTACTATTAATGACTCTACATGCTGCAGTGGCAACGTACCAGGACTCACTGACATTAGGCTGCACGGAGTCCCGTGTCTCACATAAACCCCCCATTCAACCCAAACTCCCCATCCAACTGAGAACTGGTACCTGCCCGGTGGACAATCAAGGCCATCACTGATAATTGTCCTTACTAACTGCCTGTACATGTACAATGTATACAAACTGCCAGGATGCCAGGGGGATTGTGCAAGTTTTACTTGCAGTATTTTTGTGTGTGTGCACACAGGATGGAATGACGCCCATCTTCCCTGCAGCCTATGGCAGTGTTGAGTGCCTGAAGCTGCTTATTGAGGCTGGTGCTAATGTCAACGTTCACTCAGAGGTAGGCCAAGAAACCCTGCAATTGTTTATTAGTATTATACTTGAGAGTGACATGTGGTCGACTGTGACTGCTCTGTGTATAAGAACAGCTAGATAGGGCACTACATGGCCTTAACCCCCAAATCAGTTCTAATAAGGGGGCCGGAACCACTCTATCTTGCGAGAACTGGATTATTGCAGTTCCAACTAGTTGAACCCTGCAAGTGTTTATAATTATGCTTGAGAGTGAAATGTGGGCAACAGGGCACTTCATGGCCTAAACCCTCAAATCAGTTCTGATAAGGGGGCTGAAACCGATCTATTTTGCAAGAACGGGATTATTGCAGTTTGAACTAGTTGCGAATCTCTAATAGCATTTCTCTTTTTAAAATGTCTACGATTTACCCATAAAACCTGCTGTTTGTTTTTTAAATTTGCTAAATAGGATGGAACGACCCCCCTGCATCGCGCCACCCAATCTTCTAACGTCTGTGAGACTGTACAGTATCTCATTGAGAAGGGGGCTTCTATTGATGCTGTTGATGAAGTGAGTATATCAAGCCACATTCACATTTATAAACCAAATGCACTCCTTTCATTGGTCAAAGTTCTAAAGCATCAGGGAAGTAAAAGTAGCTATAAACTTGCACATGCGTGCCTGACGCATGTCCAACTGGTTGATAGTCCCAGGGAAGAACGATTGGATTTTCCAAGGAACTTTTGAGAATGAAATTAAATGTGTGAGGTATACTAAAACATGTCCGACATGGTCACGACGCAGTTAAATAAGCCAACAGGGATCATTTGAGGTCATTGTGTAAAAAGACTTGTTTTCGACAGAAACGAATGGGCATTCAGTGATGTTACTGAGAGTAAAGGTTTAGGGCTGCTGAATGTGTTGCTTTGACAATATAATGTCAAAGGCCATGCAGGGGTCAATTGAGGTGTAACTCATGATGGAAAAAATGTGGAAAATGCTATTGTTTCATAGTATACATATATTGACTGCTCTATCTCGTGATGTAGTAAAGCTAGCCTGCGGAGGTGATCCATGACGCATTCAATTTTTCCTGAAGCGAAGCTGAGGGAAAATAGAATGCTCCATATTTCATTGAAGGAGGCTATTTTGACTACACAACAAGATCAAGCAGTCAATATTTGTTTTTATCACCTCTCTCACAGATTCTGCTTGTTAAGTGATGACTGAAAAATTTAATCTAAATTCAATTAAAATGTACTTCAAATTGAATTTGGAAATAGGCGAAAGTTTACTTGTACTTTTCCAAACTACCACTTCACAAAATGTTTAAACCCAGCTCTGTAGTACAGCGCGTGCTTGGGACTAATACGCGCAACGCGCACACCCATAATGCTTTTGCACACAATCCCGGTTTTCATCGTACAGTACTTTGGTTGCTGTGGATCTAGTACTTTTTGTCATGCACAGCAAGATAGCAAAAATAGCGAACAAAATGTGACTCGCTCTCGGCCAATCAAGATACAGAATCTGTGGGTGAGGTGTATTAAAAACAAATACGTCCAGTGAGCCAATCATTTCCTGAATTGAAAATGAAGGGTTCTAAAAGAATGAGAAGACCAAACATATAGGGATGGGCCGCGGAAAAAAGCAACGTCTGATTCGTGGATCACCTCAAGCTGGTACAGATTTGCAATACATGACTTATCTAGACTTCTTGATTTACAGTGAATTAACCCTAAATGTAGAAAATATACAAAATATGTTTAAACATTCAGAAATATTTAGACCAAACTCAGTATATCAGTGAATTTTTTTGTGCAGAATGGTAAAACAGCATTGCATCATGCAGCCAAGGATGATGCAGCAGTGTGCAAAGTGCTTCTGGATGCTGGGGCCAAGTACGACTGCAAAGATAATGTAAGTGGCAAGGATAAGAATCCATGTCTATTTTAACAAAACTTTCTTCTAACAAAACTTTCTTCCACACTTTCCTCTATTACTTTCTTCATACTTTCTTCAAAGAACTTTACCACTCAACTAGTCTGTGTTTGTGGTTGAGTATGGAAGAGCATTAGAACATTATAGTCATGGTCCAAATTTAAAAGCTGAATTTTGATTTTCTCCTCTTGCATCCCTCTATGTATTTTATGTATTAGAACATTGCGGAGCGATGGTCTATAACTTTTGAGCAGATTCACTGATAAATTATGCAAGACGACGGCAGCTTGACCTCTAGATTTTGACCAATCAGCGGGCGCTTTCCATATCGGGTCTTCAGTCATTCACTCGTTGTCGCGTCAAAGACATGGATATAAAAAAACCTAGCGGCAGCAACGAAAGCTGTGGTCTTACACTCTGTATTATGTAACGCGATACACGCCTGGCTGTTGTATTACAAAACACTGTATTCGAATTGACCAATCATATATTTAATCCTGATTTGGGAAAGAAATGGTGTCACGATTTAGTAAAGTCGACTCCGATTGGCTGAGGCGCTAGATTGCATCAATCTGCATGCTTTGATATATCAGACGTTATACGGAGTCCGGCTCCATGGATAACGGGTGATACTCAGACTACCTTATTTGCAGCTGGTCAGAGAAAAACATGGGAAAGCAGCCAAATCGGTTATAGAGAGTGCTATCAACAAGATGAATCAAATGCAGTCTTGGGAATGTTGGTCCTCTGACCTAAGAAACAGCGTGTTCGATTGCTTCCCTCATGCTTACCCTTACTTTCGCCTAGGGTGTAGATGCACATGCTCAGTTTGTAGCAATAAACGAACAATTTTGGGTTACTTGATCAAATCCCCCATTGCAAATGGATTTGAGCCATCGAAAGCGAGCCATGGTGGCCACATGCTCTTTCAAACCAAACAAGAAATGTCTGGTATGTTTAAAATTAATATAACTTTCCTAGTCGTCTAGTACTATTTGAATCCCCCACCGCCGCAGAATTATAACATGCTTGCCCAAGTCGAAGGTACGGGTAAGGAAGGATTTTTTTTGTGGGATATACTTACCCAAGCTACCGGCTCAGCCGGTCGGTTATTTGGGCCAGGCTCGAGTGAGTGTGAGAAGTCATGTGAGAGTTAAATCGAATGCAGTGGCGCTTGTGCAGTAAGTGCCAGGGGATTAATCGGGCACGCTAAAAGTGCAATCATATATGTATGCATTATCTTGACTCTACTACTGCCGGGACATCTTGAACGCACTGGATTTGGGCCTGCTGCATTAGAGGAATGAGAATACAAATGTAGTCTTGGACGAAGACTACACAGAATATTGATCTTGGCCTGGCGATGACACTATATGTGCAGTAGTTGTTGCTTACAAAAGAAAAACTGTTTTAAAGTATAAACTTCTTAGTAACCACCAATGCAAAACAATGACGGAGGATTGTTTTTATTATAGTTTGTAACGTCATCCTGAAGAACTCCTGATTGACATTAGGTTGGGTTATTTTTCAACAGGATGGGAAAGTTCCAATTTTGTTTGCAGCCTTCGGGGACAATGATAAAGCGATTCAACATCTCTTGGACAAAGGCGCAAGCTTTGGGGACACAACTGAGGTAAGCACATTCATGTAACCACCATGGCTGAAAAAGTTGGATTTAAAAGATTTTAACCCCCCCCCCCTTTCTCTTTTTCTCTTCCCCTGTGGATTGGAGTGATTTGCTCAACAACCCCAACCTCCCCCCCCCCTTTTCCAAGCCTCGTGGTCTACTGCATTGAACTTAAGATCTTAATGTAGTGCCAGTCAAGTGGGGAATGCGAAACCTGAATGTATTTGGGCGAGACACTTAGTCACTAACTTCTCTTCCCAACCCAGGGGTAACTGGTTTAGACCCCTCTCACACCAATACGTGAAGCCATTTCGTGGCCACTTCGAGGTGTCCGTGGGTGCAAAAGTTAAAAAATCGAAGTAACCACGAAATGGAATCGGATCTCACGGGTTGCCACGAACTAACCACGAATTAAGGACGTGTCCATTCCTTCCATGGGCCGATTCTCATGGATGCTCCACGGATCACCCAAAAAGTTTTTGGATATGTTGAAAAACTGAAACGTGTGCTCTTCGGAAATTTATTGCCGAATTGAAAACATGTTCAATACGGCTTATTCTTGAGGTTGGGCTGAAGTTACATCAGATTTTACAGGATGGCCCCAGATTGATTGATGACCTGTTTTACGGCCGTTTTCATTTCGCGGTACTCGATGGTACTATGAGTTGGCCACGAAGTGCTCACAGACTACATGTAGTACTCTGGAGTTGGCACCGTAGTCACCACTGACGCCACGTAGTAGTCATCGCGGGATGCAATCGGGATGGCCACGAGATGTCGCCGGCGTGCAGTCAGTGAATCCCAGGAAACGGACATGAGCACGGGTTGGTCCTGTGGTATTTCCGAGGTGGCAAGGGATTACTCATGAAGTAAAAACGGGTACCACCAAAAAACATGAACAAAAAAAACGGAGACCACGGATACTGTGAAAAAATTGCATTTCCGAAGTGACCTCGCACTAGTCTTGGATTGGTGTGAGAGGGGCATTAATACATGTGAGGGCAGAGATGGTTATTATGGTTGATTTTAGCTGCTTTGCAACAGAATGAGAGTCAAGAGGTTTAGACTTAAGCGTAATTTTTTTTTTATATATACTCTGTTTTTTTATAATTTAAAAAAAAATCTGTTTTACATGCTAGACAGGGGACAGCCCACTGCATATGGCAGCCATGATGAACAGCACAAAAGCCATCAAGATTTTGATTGAAAGGGGAGCTGACATCCATGCACGGAATATGGTAAGCGGCAGTCAATAATATGCTAAGACCTTAAAGGGGTATCCGCTCCGTTCACAAGTACCCCCTCACCGGCAAACAAAGTACAGTTGGGGGTTACCGACCAATGCCATTTTGCCTGACTGCAATTTTGCCGCGACGCGCAGTCGTACACTGTATGTACATAGTACAATTCCCCTGGTGTACGTGCGTCACACACAAGGAACGGTGCGCGTCAACCAGCTAAATGTCCCGCCCATGGGACGTCCTTGCTAGGTAAAAGGGCGCCCTCTTTTGTTGGCGCACGGAGCTCATTACGGCCTGAAATCCCCCCCCCCCCCCAAAAAAAAATAGGTTGTGGATTGTTTACTTATCCTATTTCAAAGGTCTGGTTGAAAGGAAACTAAACTAATGTCTTACCATTCCAGAGAAAAGATGACAAAACCCAGGTTGTATACATCGGACGCGGCGGACATTTGTGGCATACACATGTATTTCCATACATGTCCATTCAATGTACAGTTTACGTTGTGTTTTTGTCACATAATACACACAGCACCAATACACAAATGTTGTCCCTCGCACGTCGGCAGAAAGCGATGCATCGTTAGCCAGGATTTACAACTACATGTAGCACTCAAGAGCTTGATATTTGAGTCAAAATTTTGACCCCAAAATTCGTTCTCTCATGTTCTCACAAGAATAACACAAGAACGCCCAGTTTTTTTTTTTAAGGGAACGGTTGTGTGGACGTCTATCTCCTACTTTAAAATGCTCTTTCCAATTAACATCATTTCGTTTAAAACACGTTTTGTATCCCAATAGGATGCATTCCGGGATGTAATGCCCCTTTATTAAATGACCCAAATTTTCTTTGAGAAATTTTCTTTGGTTCGTTGGGCACAATTATATAGGGCTGCTGCACTGTGAAGAAAGAGTTGTTAAAAAACTGAATTTGTTTCCTGTTTTAATAGTTTTGTATACAATATATTTGAATCAGGCTTTTTTTGGTTTATTCCATTACTTTTAATTTTTGTCTTTGTATCAGGTCTCAAAAAGGTTTAGCTGGCCATATTAAACATTATATTATTCCACACGCATCTGTAAAACTGTTTATTTTGAATTCTATTTTTACCTTTTAAAACTCCCAATGCTTTTTTTTGGGGGGGGGGGGAATTATCTGTTCCTATAAATGAGATGGTGTCTTCTTGACGTAAATCTTTGCGGCTCATCATCACATGGTGGTCTATGTGCGTGCCAAGTTTGAAGTCGATCAGACTTATGACAGTTTTGAAGTGTATGGGTAGAAGAAAAACGTATACGAAATCCGGCGACCAGAATAAGAAGCATTTACTGCGGTGATGTCACGCTCACACGCATGCTGCACATGTTCTTAAAAATGCAGTGCACGCCCATTTTGGTATTCCTATCGGTCGAAGGAGCCCGGAGTGCATGTGTACTACCTGAGCGCGACTCGCGCAAGCCTGGTGCCACCGCAGAATATGGCTGCCACCCGATTTGTCTATAGAGAAAAGAATATCTGAAAAAGAATAGGACAAAAAAATGGGGGTAAAATCTTAACCAAACTGACTTGCCAAAACAGCTGAAACTAATAATCTACATGTATTTTGCTGTGTGAAACATGAAAGAAGTACAGACATTACAGCTTTAATAATGTGTTGATTGGAATTTAATCAAGAAATGGCGTTGATGATTTCCCCCTCACAGTATGGCTGGACGCCTCTGCACTCAGCAGCCAATGTAAAACGACCTGCTGCCATAAAGTTGCTGATCGCCAAAGGAGCAGATGTGGACGCCAAAATGATTGTGAGTTGTTATCTGTCATGACTAAAGGTTTGCTTTCATCCGGAGACCACCAAAATGTATTGAAAATCATGTGTTGGACACTGTAATGTACGTGAAGCTTGTATAGGGCCTGTGCACCTCGCAACAGAGAACTGCAACCTCACAAACTCATGCAGAGTTACCGTTTTAGCCAAATTTTGGCTAAATTTGACAGATTTTTTGGGGAAAAAAACGAATTTGACAGAAAATTTAGCAGAAAAATTAGCAAAACCCTGTTTGTAAACATCTGACATAGCAGTGTGGTTATTTATTTTGGCCTTGCCCATTTGTATTTCCAGCACCGAAAAAAAGCCATGATTTTGAGGCAAACTGTCAACACAAGACAGATGCAGCATGTAATGCACATCATATAAATGACAACACAGTGGTTTTAGCGCACACCAATTTCAAAGAACTAAATAGAAATATATGGTTGATTTTCGATGTGGGTCACGTACTCATTCCACAAATTTACTGTCCGGTTTTCTTCACACCTGATGTAATATTTGTAAGTTTGTGATACATTCTTTAGTGCCGTTGATCTCCAAAGGTGATTATGTAAAGCAAAGTACCTACAAGAAATGAGACATAGCTTACTTTGAAGTCAATTTTAATGCAAATTACACAGGTCAGTTTTAACAGGGACACATAAAGGTCACACTTTTGGACCCCCAATCTATGGAATGACCCAGAACCAAAAGTTTATATTACAAAATTCATCTGCGGTATAAAAAAAAAACCAGAAGTTTTGAAATTTTAGTTGTGTGAACATTTATATTCTATTTTTTTTGGCGATCTTTCCAACTACTATTATTCAGAAGTGCATTTGAGATCCCAATAGGGCACATTCAAGATGCTCCTTTATTCCTCCTGAAAACATCTACGATGGCTGTGCTGAACAAACGATAGGGCTATCACTTAGCAGATTTACATGTTTCAGCAAACTTGGCTGAGGACCAGTCAACACAAGCATATGGCAAGGCAGTGTCTCTCCTATTTCTGTTTCACAATGATCAAATTGCTGAAGACTCGGTCTTGTTTCCCGTGTTCAGAATGGAATGACGCCAATCTTCAGTGCATCTAAAGCCAATGCAGAGTGTCTGAAGCTGCTTATTAAGGCTGGTGCCACTGTTCAAATTCAGGCAGATGTAAGTCCAGGAATTTCAAGATTGGAACAGGTTTTTGGCATAAATTTTTTCGGTGATTCCGACCACCCGTACAAGGGCACTTGTGACTGCCTGTTTCCTTATTAAAAAACATTTTAAAGGAAATGCAAAGCATTGTGGGTGGGTCCCTTGCCAGAAACTATGTATGTAGGGAAGTGATAATAGGTCACTTTATGAAATGTGTACAGCTAAAGCTCAATGAAAGTAGATTGGGTGATTGGAGGGTGGGGGGAGAGGGATTGCAGGGTGGGGGAGGGGGATTGGAGGGTGGGGGAGGGGGATTGGAAGGTGGGGGAGGGGGATTGGAGGGGGATTGGAGGGGGGGTTGGGCTGGACGTATGCATCGTCTGATATTAAGAAGTGCTTATCGGTCAAATTCGAGTAATTCACTGATACTTGCATTACATAACTAGGTTTATGAAAATAGACTAGGGCATACATTTTGGTCGTGGTTGGCAACAGATTTTGCCAAAAATTGCATATTAACCCCCTCATTTTTTAAGGAAGAGGCATTTTTATAAAGTCTTTGGTAGGGTTTGCAGGATTTATGTGGTATTTATTTTTCTTCTCTGTTTAATTGTTGATCAGGATGGAGCTACACCACTTTTCACAGCCGCCGAGAAAGGCATCAACAGAACTAATTCCAAGATTCTTATTGAGGCCGGCTGTGAACTGGACACTCAAGATAAGGTTTGTATCTCAGGGATGTCAGTCCTCCTGCAATTGCCTGATTTCAGGCTATTTTGCCCCTCAAATTGTAAACCAATTTTAGGCAAAACTGTCAGAGTCTATGTACAAATTCTCCACTAAATTGTCAAGATGAACCTGAAATGCAATCTTGCATAAAGAAGAAGCATTCATTACCAGTGCTAGTGTGGAGAAGCAGTACATGTTTCTGTGCAAGATAAGAGCTCTGGTGCACGGCTGCACGCCATAAAAGGTTGTCCACATATCATAAAGAGTAAAGTAATTGTTTGTGTTTAATGTCTTACCGTTTTGTATGGACTCTGTGGTCATGATATGACACCTTACATTCAAGGGACTTGAATCCTGGGTCCTGATCTGTTCGATCATGACAACAGCAGTGTGATATTATACTTATAGCACGGTCTGTATCACGCTGTGCGTGTTGGCTATTCCGAGATGCGCGCAACGTCACAGCAAAAATTATCTGCAGCAGATCCGTGCACATGTTTGTATTGCTTACACAAAATAGAAATGCTCAATTACGGATTTTGCATTTCGGTTTCAGCTTTGATAACGCACCTGTATAGAATACAAATGCAGATATGCAAATAGCCGTACAAAGCCCGTACAAAATTTCGAGTTTTCCATAGGTTTGTGCACAAACATGGATGCGCCCAGCAGGCATCACTTTGTACATGAGTGCATGTCAGCGCTCTAGTAACTTTAATATGGCTCTACATTATTCCGTGTTCCACTCACGCTCGTGGGATAATTATTAAAAGTACGCACAGCTACTTTTAGTTCATTCTGAACGTGCACTAACCTTTGGCAGCTTGACATGAGTGTAGCACTATAGGTCTCATTCAAATGATGTCATTTCCTACAGACCATCCACGTGCATTGGCATTTTGAGCATCAACTTGCATAACGCGCATCGTATTTCGAACACATTTCGAGCAACAAGCGCACGTGTTTGGAACATTTTCAACACTGCGCAATGCGTGCTTGATTGCGTAAAATACGCAGTTGCAGTTCTCCTACAGAAATGGCCGTCATTGAACGAGCCCTATTGGCATTCATTCATACAAGAGTCCCTCCAAGTGGTATCCCCAACTTTCTCTTTGGAAGCGTTGAGGAGGCACCTGCGCAGGGATTCCAGGGCTTGTCTAACTGTGCTTTTGTTTGCCCTTGGGCAGGATGGAGAGACGGCGTTGCACACGGCAGCCCAGCACAATGCACGTGCATGCAAAGTTCTGCTGGATGCTGGAGCTAGAACGGACATTGCTGCTAAGGTATCTGACTTTCAGTGTCCCCGCAAATAAGACATTTTGTCACAGAATTGAGAGTAGTTCCAAATGATTACTGTTAAAGATGATGGCTGATTTGAAGGCCCTCGACTCAAGAATTTCCCCCTCGCGTCTTTTGAATTCTGACTGGTTACCACCATGGACAAATTTGACCACTCAGATAAGCTAGTTGGCTGATGAATATGTAAAAAGTTTATCGCATTAGCCTGTGTACCTGCTCAAACCGCCCTGTATATTACTGCCTTAACCGCCCCAAAACGCCCAATGCCATATGTTTTATTGGGTTAAAGGCAGCGTCCATCATTTGTAGTGTAGGCATTATGTTCATTTGAAGTGCTCAAAATCTAAAGAAGGGTGCTGAACAAGTAACCTGATGAAGTTTTAACTCGGTGAATGCTGTTCATTCCGAGAAAACAATATTCTAGGATATCGATTTCAAATCAAAAGTTGCTGATTCATGTTTTGAATTGGGCCTGAATTCAACGTTTGAGACACATTCTCACTGAGCCAATTGCAGCTATGCGATGTTGCGTACTGAACCGACGAATTATAGCAAGTGCATGTGCGTTGTGGCAATGCTTGCACGCGCTTTGCCAAATTTTAAAAAAAGGAACTACTAAGGCCAAAAAAAAAAACTCTTCGGTTTCTGGTATGGAGCTTGCCCCAAAATTGGCTACAGCGACGCGCGCGCATACCAGAAACAGGAGCCTTTTTTTTTTTTTTTTGGCCTAACGGACGTTTCCTATGATGTGTCTTTCATTGATTTTTTCAAAATGACAGCTTGCCCGAAAGAATAATTTCACAGGGAGTTTAGTCTCATTACTATCGTTAAACCAAGTAAGCTTTTCAACAATAATTACGTCAGTTACATTTTGGATAGCTGCAAATGATGGACTGTACCTTTAATCAAGGAATAATACAATGCAATACTGGTACAATACAGGGGTTAATCATTTTTTTTTCTTTTGGTAGAACGGTAAATTACCCCTACATCATGCTGCCCAATCATCTAATGCCAAGTCGCTGCAGTATCTCATTAACAAAGGTGCTCCTGTTGATGCTGTTGATGACGTGAGTATATGTCTAATTTTTGTATTCTCTTTTTTTTTAGAAGTTGCAATATATTTCCAGATTTTGATTCAAACATTTAAAGGCCAGATATAAAAGCTAGTGGAATCATTTGGAAGTTTTGTGAAGACTAACATTTCATTAAAAAATATTAGAGTAAACAGCAGACTGAAGTATAGGAAAATATTTATCTTTATACTACGCCTGATTAAATCTCTGTCATCTGATTGGTGGGTCATTGATCATGTGTCATTTTATTATTCGTCCCAACACACGGAGCGGCTGCACGGTAAAAACGGAAGGTCCATTCCACGGTAAATGGAAGTTCCAATGCACGGTTACACTTTTGGCAGCTCTGACCAATCAGATGACAAGGATTATTCAGGTGTTGTGTAAAACAAGTAGTGAAAGTTTGTGAGTGCAATGGAAAGAGAATTTCATTCGGTGACAGATGGAATGTTCCATTCTATGAGGTGAACACTCGTAGACATTCTTTACTTGTATATTTCTATAACTCATATATGTTCATGATTGACAGCTGAACTCTTACTGGTCAATTCACAATTACGTGCCAGACGTTATTTGTGCTGTTTACCAAGCACGCGTGAGGAGTCACGCACAGGGTAAATGGGCATGCGTAGTAGACAGTCACACGGGTTACCCGTGCAACAGTCTACTACGCATGCGCTTTACAAAGCAGTCTTGGAACTGACGCAGGGGTGTAGTATGCACGCGCAAACATCGCCCAAGTCAGCTTCGCACAAAGAGATGGTTGCATGGTACGCGAAAATGTTTAATTTTCCCAAACTCATTGATGCCGAACTGGAGAATATTTATAAATGGATGCCTCTTGATGTACAAAAGAAAGTTGTCCACTACTGTATTTACAATTGTAGCTACTGTATTGCAAGCAAAGTGAACTAGTGAAATTGAACAATAATATTCTTCTGGTGAACTGGACAAGTTTATCCAAAGATTTTGTTTTTACTTTAGGTGCATGCTGCAACGAAAAAAATCAGGAGCTGGATATGTTTGTTTTTAACAAATGCTTTCCAGTAAAAGCATTTGCTTCATTTTAGTCAGATAAATGCAAGTAATGCTTAAAAATAAGTAGTACACATGTTCAAGCAAATACTACTTTGTATACATTCAACTCATTTATTGAGATGAATCCGAAATTAATGCTATATTTTGTTGGGATTATACAGGATGGTTGGACTGCTGTCCATCATGCCGTCATGAAAGATGCAGAGTGTGTCCGACGTCTACTCAGAGCTGGTGCAAATGCAGAAATTAAAATGAAGGTACTCAAAATAGTCATTTTTTCTTTTTTATAGTTATTTCTTTTTGCAAAAAAAATGCAAATGCTTCTTAATCTTTCCTTTCTTCTTCTTCTTCTTCGTCTTCTTGTATGTAAGAAGACTTGAAAAAAGAAATGACTGTAAATCGTCATTTTGCACACAAAAAAAAAAATTACCGGAATGCGGAGTGCCGTGGCCTCGTGGTATTGGGCATTGATTTTGTGGTCTGCGGGTAATTCTTCGGGTTGTGGGTTCGAGTCCTGCCTGGGGTGATGGTGCGTGTGCCATTGGGCAAGGTACTTTGTCACTCATTGCTTCTCTCCACCCAGGAGTAAACGGGTACCTGTGAGGGCAGAGATGATTATTGTGATTGAATTAGCTTCCTTGTGCCTAACAGGCTGCATTGAGCTGTATACTCCCCAGGGAGCTGAGATGGTATTTGGAATGTTTAACTGGCCCAATGATCAGGGGAAAGAATAATGTAAAGCGATTTGATCTTATTTAAAAGCACAATATAAGAACTCGTTATTATTAACCAGTCCAAAATTGGTTTTGATGCAGCTCTTGAAAATTCACCCAGAAACTTAATGTCTTTCCTTTTTTTCAGTAGAACAATTTCTCCAGCAGTTCCAAAGTTATTCACTTTTGAATGAGACATCTGATGAAAAAAAATCGGCCCACATTTACTGATGGAAAACAATATTTCAATTTATGTGCAGCCTGAAAAATGATTTGGTTTGCATGACAAAAATGGTTCCTGCCCTCTCCACCTTTTAGAATTGATAGTGTAAGGACGAGGAACCAGTCTGCTTGCAGGGCAGATCCTTTTGTGCACAAAGGCAACCGGTATTCAAAGAGGGTTGGTGAAGGTCACCAAAAACAAGAGCTGATGTTTTTCTTGGTAACAATGAAACATTAAAACATACAAAATTTGCAAGCAGAAAAAAAGTGAAATATGTTTTAGAGGATCTGTTATAGACTGCTCATTCAATGAGGCCCCCTGCAATGGCAAGAACATTGAGCCAGCTATTGTTCAGTTAATCATCATTGCGCAGTTTGTACAATAGCTGACCAGGGGGAGGGGGGGGGGAGATTTTCCCAGGCCAAAAAAAGTGCCCCTCTCGTGGTCATAAATGCGCCCCCTCGATATGAAAACAAAACTGCCCCTCAAACGCACATGTGAAAACAATGTGATCACGCTTAAAAATTATCTCCTCTCTCGTAATGCAAAAGTGCCCCGCAAAATCACAAATACCCTTCGCACATTAACAAGATTGTGAACATTCACGAGATGTAAATATCTCCTTCGAAAGCACAAAGACCCCTCTCGCAATTGTGCCCCTCTGGAGATGGGAAATTGGCCATCAAAAGTAATAGTGCTCCTCACATGAAAAAAATGGTCACTTAACTGGTCATCAAAAGCAACAGTGCCCCTCTCACGCAAAAAAAATGGTCCCTTTGCATAGGCCTAACTAGTCAAATTCAAGGGCGGACCCAAAGAGATTACTGTCTGGGCTGTACAGGAGGCCGAAGGGCTCTCTCAAGTGAAAAAATAAATACCTTATTTGAGAACAATCTGGCTATATTGAAACTTTTTTCAGGAATAGGCCTACACTGTAATATTTTGAGTAAGGGAATTAAGAATTTTAATTTTTTTAACGCACATGTTGTTAATGAATTGTGTACCTGGTTACATGTATTCCTTGTAGTGTGAACGAAAATAGTTTTAAAATTGTCCCCTCTTTTCACACCGATGGAAGGTGCCTGTTTTTTTTCTGAGCAAGTGCACCGTTTTGGTGACACCCCCCCCCCCCCCAGTTTGAAAAGCATAGCTGGCACAATACTTCCACCATTAAAGGGGGCTGAGTCCTCCATGGGTGCACCGTTTTTAGTGTGCTCGGTCTATACACGGAAAATACAAGAAAACCCAAGTTCATCAAATGAGTGGAAAACAGTTTAATTAGGCAACTTGCATATTAACCTTTCACACAACTTGTGTGTTTTCCGGAAAGGCTGGCCTTTCAGCGTATGGTCTGTGCATGCAATACAGCCGTGACGTAGAAACGCTGGCCGCTTTGATCGGTGGAGGGCGGCACAATCCAAACGAAAACACCGAACAGCAGACAGAATCAGATGAAGAAGAATCAGATGAAGAAGATGAAGAAGGTGAAGAAGATGAAGAAGATGGAGAAGATGAAGAAGAAGAAGACGACCCATTTGACCCATTCAACTTAGGGGCTTTGCGCAGGATAAAAAAGTTGCTAGGAAGAAAATAAAAACAAAGAAGACGAAAAAGAAAAAAAAAAATTGAGGGGTCTCGATTCTGGTTAATGTACAAATACGTACATGTACTTGCAACGCTTTCCTTATGCACATAAGGCACAGAACGATACAAGAACTCCATGCAAGAATTATAGAGGGTGCTGTTGCAGCCCGTCACAAGACCAAGCTTCATGAAGGCCAGTGCTTGCAAAGAAAACAATAATGAATCCTTTACTATTAGGTTATTAGGAGACTAATATGTTGACCACAATCGGAAGCTAATACTGGTAAGATGGCACCACAGGGCACCTGTATGCTAGTGTAATTCCCACAGTCATGGACAAAATACTGGAATATCCCGTGCTTTAAAGCTATCATAGACAAGCATGGAATTTTGTTATATTACAAGGAGTTGTGGAAGTTGTGGATGATATTCCAAGAAAAAAGGTCCTGGAAAAGTCTTGGAATCCTGCATTTAACCAATACGTGATTATGCTTCATACATGTATTTGCTGTCACTTTTTGCCTACATGAAGTTTCTGTAGTTAATTTTGTTCAAAGCTTAGACATCACGATATTTACACCTCAAAAAGATTTTGCAGAGAATTAAAAATACTATTACAGCTACAGGTATTTCATTTATAATGTACAAAAGAGTGTGATACTTTGTGAATGAATTTTCTATAAACACAGCCAATTACTTACGTAGTTTCGTTTACGTTTCAACTAGTTTCACTAGGATGAGGATGACTAGTGAAACTAGTTGAAACGTAAACGAAACTACGTAAGTAATTGGCTGTGTTTATTGAAAATTCCTTTACAAAGTTGAAATTTTACCAGCCTGATAAACTTCTTTCATGAAATTAAATTTTGTCAACTTATTAACAAAAAAGTAGATGAAATATCAACTTGCAAAAGTAGTTAATTTTTAATGATTTGTAAGAATATATCCATGCAAAATTTTTTTTTATAAAAAACTGAAATATTTCTATTCAAAAGTTCAACTATTTTGTATGCACTGTGTGTCAGCACACATCATTTGCTTTTGGTTTCAAAGCATGGGCCTCCTAAATTCCGCAACAGTGTGTGGGTCTTTCTAGGTCTTATCATTTTGCTGGACTTTTGATTCATCTTAAAATCCATGGGTTCTTTCTTTGAGTTATTTGGGGCTTATGTCCTTGAGCAGGGTCATCTATAGCCTTGTTCCAAGACTGGATTTGTTTTTATTCTCCTTATAATTACTTAACCGGTCCATGACAAGCAAGTTCTCAACAAGATGAATCAAATGCAGTCTTTGCAATATTGGCAGCGCTACCCAGGAAATTCCCCACGCGGGCTTGTATTCAAGCTAGTGCATGCGCGTGAGGTATGCTCAGGATTCCCTGGGTAAAGCTGCCAAAAGTGCCAAGACTAGATTTGATTCATCTTGTTGGTAGAGAGCTCCACCAACCTGCGGCAACTTAATTAACCACGTTCATCACGGAACCGGCTGCAAAATAGGGGAATACAATTCCAGTCTTGGATGAAGACTAGAAGGTTAGGCCAAAAAAAAAAATACTCGGTCTCTGGTCAGACCAAAGTTCCGGAATTGATGCGGCGACGCGGCTTTTTTTTTCGGGTTTTTTTTTTTTTTCAAGCTTGGATTGTACAGACAAGGTGGGGTACTATTTTGCTTTTTTTGGTGTCCTCATGTACATTCGTGTCCTGCATAATTTGCCTTGGTGCCCTCGATCATTTGCTTTGGTACAATTTCCCAATCCTTGGTGCCCTTTGGTAAAACAAAATTGAGGAGGTGCGGCAATAGAGGGCGCTGTTGAAGCTACCGCGGAACATTTTGGGGAAAAAAAGATTGACGCGCATGGTTAAAATCGACGCGCGCGCTGACCAGAGACCGACTATTTCTTTTTTTTCTTATCCAGGGTAGCATTTTGTTTCCATTGTAAAGGAATAGGCAAATAGAGGCAGCCTTTTGTAGATGCATGTTGTTTACCTGATCTTGCGCCTGGATACTGCAGTAAGTAATTACGACAGGCTTGCAAAAGACTTTTGTAATTGAAATCTGTGTATTTTAGGACCTTTATGCTGCATTGCCTCCAGCAAGTATTTGTGTCTATTAATTTGGAATTTCGTAAGAAAGAGTGTGGACTTAAACACATAAGCACTTCTTCCACCCCCTCCCCGAACTTCACCCGAACCCCCACCCACTCCCCCACTCACCCCCACTCCAACCTCACCCACAACCTACCCCTTGAAAAGTCTTGGATTCCAAAACTTTAGTTTACTGCCTTTCAAGAAAGTCCTTGTTTAGTGATCGTTCGTCCTTCGTTGATTAGCCGTCTAGTATCTGCTTCTACAGAATGGATACTGCTAGTAATTACGAGGCTTTCAAAAGACTTTTGTAATTGAAATTTGTGTATTGTAGGACCTTGCTGCACTTCCCCCCCCCCCACCCCTAATGATCCCAGGCCAACAAAAGTGCCCCTGTTGCGTTTATAAATGTGCCCCCTCGAGATGAACTTAACAAAACTGCTCCTAAAATGCACACAAAGTCATGGAAGCATATATTCGCGCGACAAATTAAATTGTCTCCTCTCTTGTAATGAAAAACTGCCCCTCAAAAACACAAGTGCCCCTCTCGCACTAATAAGATTGTGCACCTTCTCGAGATGTACAACTGCCTCTCAAAAGCACCATTTTATTGGTGCCCCGCCCCTAGAGAGGTCACTGCCGGGGGCGGAAGGTGTGCATGTGCGGTGTGCCAAAGGCCCAAGGGCGGAGCAAGCCGTGCCTCCCCGCCTCCCTCCCCCCCCCCCCCCCCAAAAAAAAAGAGGAACCCCATTTTTTTAGCGATTCAAAAAAAGGCATCCACTATTTTACGTACACCACCATCTTTTCCTAAAAATACATAGGTTATAGTGGTCAGAAATTACCTCAGTTCGCCCAACAGAGCATCTAGAATCCATTTTTTTCCCCCGGGCCCCTAAGTGGTTCCCGAACCCCACACAGTGAATTTATGAACCCACTTTTGGGGACCAATTTCTTTTGGGTGGTGTCTTCTGGATCCACCATTGCGGAAGCCAAAAGGCTCTCACTTTCAGACCGACCGTTTGAAAAGCGTTCAGCCGTCCCTGGTCACAAACGATCATCATCGAGTGATATTTTATCTTGTAACCTTCATTTTTTTTTTAGCCAAACAATCATGCTTAGCAAATGTCAGTGATTTCAACCTTTCCATTGAAATGGTACCTGGTGCCCATGCAATTTCGCTTTAATACAGCGGCGGTCGTATGACAGCAATTACTGGCACACTTGAGCTGATTTGTGCATAACGATTGTAAAGAGTGACACGTTATGCACAACACGAATCTGATGAATATGCACAATGTCAAAATAACGCTGTTCATGAATAATCTTGCCAGATTAATGCCTATAATGTGTACGTTTTTCAGTATTCAATAAGTTAAAAAGTTTTGTAACTTTTCCAATATTGGACCAAAATTTCAGTTCTTTCCCACAGATTAAATAGACTGTTTATGATTTACATCACGATATTTAAACCTTAAAATATTTTCCAGAGAATTGAAAAAAAACACGATATATTGCATCTATTTTATGTCATGTACTATACATTTAATTCTTGTAAACTTATTAACAAAACAGTATGATCAACTTGCAAAAGGGATTACATTTTAGTGTTTTGTAGAAATAAATCCATTTCAAAAATTGTGTAACAAACTGAAATATTTCTCTTCCAAGGTTCAACTATTTTGTAAGTACTGTGTGTCTGCAAACGTCACTTTGCTCTTGATTTCAAAGCATGGGCAACCGGAATGTGTGGGTCTTTCTAGGCCTTGTAATTTTTGCTGGACATTTTGATCCATGGGTTGTTCCTTTGAGTTATTGGTGGGGCTTATAATGTCCGTGAGCAGGGTCATCCATAGTTGGTCCAAGAATGGATTTGAATTTTATTCCCCTTATTATACAGCCGGTCCGTGACAGGCGAGGTCTCAACAAGATGAATCACTATGCGGTCTTGGCAATATTGGCAGCGCTACCCAGGAAATTGCTCACGCGTGAAGTATGCTCGGAATTTACGGAGTAGAGCCATGGAGGTAGGAATATAGTAGAGCTGCCAAAATTGCCAAAACTGGATTTGATTCATCTTGTTAGTAGAGACCACCACCCCGCGGCAACTTTATTATCGCGTTCTTCACGGAACCGGCTGCAAAATAGGAGAATAAAAAATCCAGTCTCGACAAAAAAGACTGAATGGATTCTGCAGACCGTGCAGTAATTGCGACAGGCGCGCAAAAGACTTTACTGAAATCTGTGTATTCTATAGTACATGTACCTTAATGTCGCCTAGTCTCCAGCAAGTATTCATGTCCATTATCCCTGCCAAAAGAAAGAGTGTTGACTTCAACGCATGAAAACCCCAATCTTATTAGCCACTACCTTTGGGGGAAAAAGTTCTTATTGAATTGCACTGGATTTCAGTCTGGGGGCATCTGTTGATGAACCGATCAACAAACTTTATGTAGTCTATACTGTAGCAACCTCGTCCACAGGGTGTCGAGCAGTACGCGCCCACCACTACCTGCTCTCTTACCCTGGTATTGGATCATTTGCATGTGCAAGATTTTTGAAAACGTATGCAAATGAGGAATATTCCGGTGCCTACCTGTGCGTTACATTGGCGTTTGTTTTTGTATGCGGTGTCTGGGATAAAAACCGTACCAATTCGCGCCGTGAGTTACGAAAACACGATTGTTTTCGAAGTTAAAATGTTACAATCTTATCCCGCCAATTATGCAGTATCACATTTCATATTAATATGAGCACATTGGAAAAGGAGAGGAGTATTTTTGAGAAGGCGTGGACGTTTTTAATTACAATGATTGTGAAAACACGCACTGCACGTTGAAAATAGTAACACCAAGTACATGGTATAAATCCATTACTAGCCGATTGCAGCATCGAATCAGGATACAGGAAGAAAGTGTCCTATCCAAGGCTCTCTATTGGAAATGAGGTTGGAAATATAGTTAGCACTGGGATGAGGTTGATACTGTAGTAGTTTAGGTAATTGCAAGGTTAATCGTCGTCTTGTTAGCTGATATTCGCTTTCATTGACATCGGCTTTGGAAGCACACTGAGTCGTATTCCAATCAGACGTTGATCGATATATATATGTTTTTCTCTCATATTTGTTTTTGTCGGATTATGGCCTATCTTTTCCTTGCTCTATGCCTACTGGTGCCCCACGGGTGGATTTAGAACTGGGGCGGAGCCAGCTTTGCCGATGGGGGGGGGGCAGCAGGCACGTGCTACTTTACTGCAGAAATCAAAATGGAGGGAGGATGGCTTGAAAGTTGTGTTAAAAATGATCCGTGCTTTTTCCGAGTGTCACCACAAAAGAACATTCAGGTGCTATTTTTTTACTAGCAAAACCCAGTTTTATTCAGTTTGAATGAGATATTTGAATGCAAAAAACATCAGCTAGCTAATGTTTAGTTTAATGGAGTAATTACTTCACAGATTACATTTTTTTTTGCGGCCCTTATTGAGTTATCGCAGGTGAGGGCAGACTGGTTCCCGCCTACAATTTGGTGTCGATAATGTGGGGACCCGGAACCACATAACCGCGGATCTGCTCGCAAAAGCAAACCAAAACAAAAAACCCTTTTTATTAGATGGATAATTTGAAGGCGCCGGAAT